ATGTTTTCTAGCCAATGTTTCCCACGTGATGAAAAACCTTAAGCCCTCCACCGAAATGTCGGCCAAAGACTATCTAATAACGGACTTTGTATTATATTTGTAATCTCTCTACTAATTAATGAAATCTTCTTTGTCAATTAAAAAATGATAAAAAGATAACTTAGTCTTCTATCACATAAAAAAAATTATGAGCAATAATGTAATTTCACAGGTTCAAATTTTACTATTTTTTATTGAAATCTCATCTACAGCTGATGTTAAAATACCTCTAACATTATTAAACAAAAAAAAAAAAAAAAAAAAAACCAAAAACAAAAACCTCCCACTCCCCCCATGTTCTCTCTCTCTCTCCCTCCCTCTCTCCTTCTCATTTTCTAAAAAAATGTGTTCATACACACAAAGTGTGTAGGCAAATATTAGTTATAATTAAGGTAACACTGCAGGCAGTGATGCTTGCAGCTTCCTTAACAAATTAAAGTGATCGAGTCATTGAGGTTGATGCCGTCATAAGCCTAACGATGGTTGTGTTTCAGCCGAAATTGCATATATCACGAAAGCTTAATTGTGTGCCAAGCGCACAACCACTAATATTACAATTACATATTTAGGTTAATTATTCAAAAACCATAAGCATGACATCTATATCTTGATATATGGAGGTGAAAAGCTTAATTCGGACATGTTTAATAATTGCTTCGGTATTTCGTTTTTTGTGTACATGTTTTGTGGCTTAAGATATGATGAAAGTGTATATGGAAAGAAGGGTGATGCCGAACTCTTTTACCTTTAAATCTTCACAAAAAGGAAAAAAAAAAAAAAAGTGTCACATCCCTGTCCGGGCCCCCACCACATCCCGGGCTCGACTCCATCGTAGCACGATATTGTCCGTTTTGGGTCCCGACCACGCTCTCACGGTTTTGTTCGCTTAACTTCGGAGTTCCTACGGAACCCGAAATCAATGAGCTCCCAAAAGGCCTCGTGCTAGGTAGGGATGGGAAGATACATATAAGGCTTACAGAATCCACTCCCCTGAGCGATGCGAGATATTACAACAAGAGTATGTGAAATCAAAAACCAAAAATGAAATTGTTATCAAGGAAGCTCTTAACCTATATAATTGGAGTAAATGATGAGATTGTGTGGATAAATTATCAGTTAAGACCAAGCCAGGATTTAAGGATTTAAGGTTTGTTGCGAGTTGAAGACCAAGGCAACTATAAACTTCTTCCTTATAGTGGTGATGTGTTATGTGGAGGGATTTTAGTTAATTATTTGATCCAAAGTAGGCTAACATATCTATCTAAGAAAAAGGAACTGAGGACAACTAAGATTTTTTTTTTTTTTGTTTCATTATGAATACATCACATCCCACATCCAACCATAAAATTTAGGTTTGAGTATTATGTGACATCTCACATCGTCCAGGGAGTGATCCTTATATGTATATTCCCATCCCTACCTAGCACGAGGCCTTTTGGGAGCTCACTGGCTTCGGGTTCCATCGGAACTCCGAAGTTAAGCGAGAAGGGGGCTAGAGTAATCCCATGATGGGTGACCCACTAGGAAGTTGCTCGTGAGTTTCCAAAAACAAAACCGTGAGGGAATGGTAAGCCCAAAGCAGACAATATCATGCTACGGTGGTGGAGCGGGCTCGGGAAGTGATTCGCCCCGGGCTGGGATGTGACAATTTGGCATCAGAGCCTAATCCTGGTCGCGTGTGTGCAGACGAGGACGTCGGGCCCTAAGGGGGGTGGATTGTGACATCCCACATCGTCCAGGAGAGTGATCCTTATATGTATATTCTCATCCTTACCTAGCACGAGGCCTTTTGGGAGCTTACTGGCTTCGGGTTCCATTGGAACTTTGAAGTTAAGCGAGAAGGGGGCTAGAGCAATCCCATGATGGGTGACCCACTGGGAAGTTGCTTGTGAGTTTCCAAAAACAAAACCGTGAGGGAATGGAAAGCCCAAAACAGACAATATCATGCTACGGTGGTGGAGCGGGCTCGGGAAGTGATCCGTCCTGGGCCGGGATGTGACAATTAGGAGAGGTTTCTAGTGCAAATCTTAAACTTTTAATATTTTCTTTCAACCTAAAACCAAATATTTAGATTTTACGCTTTAGATATTAAAAAGAATAGAGAATAAAGAGGAAGAAGATATCTCTTTTTTCGTTTGAGGGAAAACCCAATATTAATATTAATATTTCTATGTATTTTAATTTTGGAGAGCAGTGAAGTTTCGATGACATTTCTCATCTCATTTGTAACGAAATATAAATGCACATGAGTTGTATAACTTTCTATACACGTGCAAGACAGTCCGTGTAATCTATCAAAAATAATCCAGGAAGGATGCATTACAGTTCATGTACAGTGGCGGATTCAAGAAATATTATTAGGGTTTCACAAGAATAACGCGCGCAGCGTGCAAAATTTTTTAAACAAATATAGCATGCATATCGTCATTTCATCGAGTCTTAATAAGCCTGAAGTCATTTGCAAAGGCATATTGCACACCTGTTAATGCCTCAGTCGCATGGGTAACTACCATGTTCCAAAGCTGCTCCCATATGAATGCGTAACAAAAGAACACGCTTATCTTGAACACACTAACAAATTGATTGATATCATTGCATCCCATTAATATGTTTGTCCAACAATGATGATGCTCTGTTCATTCTCTAAAATTACCATTTTATTTACTTTGCATTTTTGGATAGTCTTTTACTTGGTTCTTTTTTTTTCCTACAATTGTAATCACAACCAACAAATACACCGAAGATAAATTATATTAAGACTAGACTATAAAGAGGCAGCACCTCTCTAATGCATTTTATCAAGCAATTGGAGGCCATATATGAAAGGCAACTCCAACCTTCAAAAGGGCAGTACCCAAGTCATCCATGAAGATTCATGGGAGTTCAGAGGGTCAGCTGACTCCCCTTCCCCCTAAGTCAGTCCGCCTTTGCTTATGTATATATACTTTAGAATTACGTAGATAATATATTATACAAAAAGTTAATGGGAGATATAAAAAATTATATACATATATATCTTAGCAACGTGAGAGGAAGGAAAAAGGAAAAGGAATTTGGATAACTACATGCCTTGTCTACTTTTTTTTATCTAGGGCACCATATTGATCCACAACTTAGTATTTATCAGTATATGGAGGATATTCATTTGATATTAGCTAAGATTAGCTAGTAGAATACAAGTAGTTGAGAAGTAAAAGAAAGAAGAAGGAAATGTAAGTAAAGAACAATAATTCTGAAAAATTACTTTCAAATTTAGCCAAGAAAGGTGTGACAGAGAGAAGATGAGACTATCTTATAGTTAGAGATAAATGAGGTTTTGAATTAACCTAAACATAAAATATTACTAATACATCAGTTGGAACCTTGCGATTTGGTTCGATGATTTAGATTTTAGAGTGGACCTAAACAACTTAATAAAGCACAATAATAAACAAAAGATTTTACAGAGGTATCAACTTTCATAAAAAATAGTCTCATCAACTACAAAGCACAATAATAAACGAAATTTTTACATAGGTTAATCGTTTAGTTTACAACTCAACCCATGTTCATTCATATTGCGTTATTCAAGTGGTAAATTGCATATACAACTTAATGGATAATGTGCATGCACATATCAATTAAACTATTCAACTAACTAGTTGAACACAGAGGAAAGAAAGAAATGTAGAATTTGCAGAGGGAAATGATAATTACACGTCTCTTCTTTTTTTTTTTTTTACATTCATTTATATCTAGCCATTAAATTGAAGAAATCAACAAGAACAACATAGATGATTAAACATAACTGTGTAAAGACTGAGAACAAATATTGGACCACGAATAAAAAGGGGTAAAGTAAAGTCTAAGCGCATATGACACGAAAAGGAAATCCGATTTCAGTAAGACCTAATCTTAATCATAGTTCAGATTCAAGATATAGTGTAGTTATAATTTTTTTAGAGGCATTTAGATATGGGTCAAAAAAATCAACATGCTATTAGATTAAGTCTAGTATTACCTTTTCTTCACTTTTATATTTTTTTTACATTTTTTAATATTAGAGATAATTAAAATCCTCTAATTTCATGCATCTTTTTGTTTGTATTTTTGAATTTTGAATATTTGAAAATTACTTTATTTTTAATCTACTTATTAAAAAAAATTAATCTACTTATTATATTTTAACAAAAAAAAAAAGCAAGTGGCCCTTTATTAAAATGGTGGAAAGGAGTTGAGCCGTTACATGACGGCGTGGATTCTAATTCCGTTGGTGACTAATCATATAGTAACAAAATTTATCGTTTGACAAAAAAAAAAAAATTAATATACTAACATATATAAACCCACTTGCAGAACATACCTAATTCAAGAAACAAATAAATAAATGAATAATATACCTATAAACGAGATATAAAACCTAACTAAAAGGTACAAAAATATAATATATATACTTACAAGTAAGACACATTAATATGTGTACAAGTTGATTATCAAAAAGGAAGAAGAAGAAGAAATTACCTATATGAATGGTGTTTAGAAGAGGAGGAAGAAGAAGAAAAATAAATAACAAGAAATAATTAAAAATAATAATTAGGAAGAGATTTAAATCCTATAGTAAATTATATCATTAAAAAAAATAATTATTGATAATAAAATAATAAACTAAAAAAATGGGACCTATTTTAATAAAATAGAATATTTCTAATATTATTTTATATCAAGTTTTCTCCCCTTTTTTTTATTGGAAAAAGACATCTCAGCACAAATCAATAAATGTATTGTGATATATTTCAATCATAGTGGTACACAAAGATAAAAGGCAGATGGAGCGACACAAGCTCAGCCACAAGTAGTCATGCAGTGTAGGCAGGCCATGTCAGCCAGCCCAAGCTAGGACATGCTGTCTTGCTAGCTGCCAATTCTCAAAAGTGAAAGTATGGTTTCAGGTTCAAGCACATAAGAAATGGACCCTCCAAGCAGCTTTAATTTGATTTCTCTCCTTTTCTTCTCCTTTTCTTCTCCACTTAATTGTATTTTTGTTTGAAATTTTATTTTTAATTGATATGCATATCAAATTATTCATAAGTATTATTTTCTTTTAAAATTATGGTGATGAGAAAATCAAGTTGCTCACGGCGCCGAAACCATGGCTAGTTCCCCCACCCTCACCCTCCTTCAACTACTTTATATAAACCTACCGTCTCCTCCTCTTACAGTCTCACTCTTGCATTGCAGATTTAAACTTATCTGACTAGACGCATAACCACAATGAGTTGCTTGCAGTCTTGGCCTGAGCCTATCGTGAGAGTCCAGTCCTTAGCAGAAAGCGGCATAACCGCTATCCCCGATCTCTACATCAAACCACCATCCAAACGACCATCACCGCCAAACACCAACAACCACCGTGATGCTGACGTCAACATCCCGATCATTGACCTCCAAAACCTTTTGAGCGACAACCGGTGCCTCCGCGAGGCAACGATGCGTTCAATCTCGAGCGCCTGCAGGGAGTGGGGTTTTTTTCAGGTGGTAAACCACGGGGTGAGCCACGAGCTGATGAAGCGGGCGAGGGACACATGGCGCGAGTTCTTCAGCCTGCCTCTGGAGGTGAAGCAGGAGTACTCCAACAAGCCGAGTACGTACGAAGGGTACGGAAGTCGGCTGGGAGTTGAGAAGGGGGCTATTCTGGATTGGAGTGATTATTACTTTCTTCATTACATGCCTCCTCAGATCAGAAACCACAACAGATGGCCAGCTCTCCCAACTTCATGCAGGTACTTTTCATCTTTCATTTTCTGACATGAAAGTATTTCATCATTGAAAACGTGCTTGTTATGACTTTTCTTTTTCTAATTATATAATGCCTAAATAAAATCGGTCTGTTTTGCTTGGTAGGTGGCTTTTTAGACACGTAAATTATGTTATCAGATATTGTGAAAGAAGCCTTGTATGCGCTTTGTTTTGTTAGAGTATTCTTTTTGTGTGTAAAAGTCTCATTAGTCGTGACGGCTTATTATTTATTTTCGTATTATTAAGCATATTTGAATTAGCAGTATGTAAGTTATGCTTTCTTTTGATTAGGTTTATAAATTGTGTATGGCACAACTCTTTTTGTGTAACCATTAACCAAACGTAACATGTTACTATATATATAAATAGAAATTGATAATACTTTTTTCTCAAAGTGTGGTAAATCTCTTATGTGAACATATCTATATATTTGATATCAATATCTTACCAAATATTTGATGTTGAATATGAAAAATAATGTAAAGAGAAAAATTTGGTTTTATTAGATACATAACTTCATATTTCCAAATTTTAGGTATACCGATATTTCTCACCTAATGATATGAGTCTTTTTTATAGAAAAATATGTTAGTCATGCATCCACTAAAATTTCCTTTCTAACTTATAAAAATAAAAAATCCTTACTAAAATGAACTGACTAAAGTCGTGAATCAAATTTTTCACAAAAACATATCTATGGTATTACCTTGTGGCATTTTCGCCTTTTCCATGAAGGTCATACCTAAGCACATGGTTCGAACTACAACACGCAAATTGCATTTTTTGATTTATAAGAATCTTTATTTGGTACACATGAAATAAGGAAAATACGTATCGATTGATTCTAACTAATGATGACACATGCGTATACGCTACTAACCTTTGCATTCTTTATAAATTCATAAACGTATGCTAAAAAACTTAAACAATCTAAATATTTGCAAATATATATATGTGTGTGTGTGTGTGTGTAATAAGTATGTGATTGTTGTTGTACTAAAATAATTAGTAATGTAATTTGCCATAGAATTCGCCAATTAATAGAAGTATTTTGTACTTTTTAGAGAATTACTAGGAAAATTGCATGTGACAAGTCAAATTACTAATTTAACTTTCAATGTGATATTTGTAAATCCACTCCATGCTATAATGTTTAGCTTCTGTTGTAGGAAATTGATTGAAGAATACAGCGAAGAAACAATTAAACTGTGTGGGATTCTGATGAAGGTGTTGTCTCTAAACCTTGGCCTTGGGGAAGACCAACTTCTCGATGCTTTCGGAGGAGAAGAGAATATTGGGGCATGTTTACGGGTCAATTTCTACCCAAAATGCCCTCAACCAGATCTAACCCTTGGTCTCTCAGAACACTCTGACCCAGGTGGCCTGACCCTTCTCTTACCTGATGAAAATGTTGCTGGACTTCAAGTTCGTAAAGGTGAAAATTGGGTGACTGTGAAGCCTGTTCCTAATGCCTTCATCGTAAACATCGGAGATCAAACTCAGGTGCTGAGCAATGCAATTTACAAAAGTGTAGAACATAGAGTGATTGTGAATTCAGTTGAAGACAGAGTTTCACTGGCCTTGTTTTACAACCCAAAAAGTGATTTGATGATTGAACCTGCCAAAGCTCTTGTCACAAATGATCGCCCTGCCCTTTACTCGCCTATGACATTTGATGAGTATCGGCTTTATATTAGGATGAAGGGGCCTTGTGGAAAGGCGCAAGTTGAATCTTTAAAATCCTATGAATAGTATTAGTTTCCGTATTAGAACACAACATATTATAAATGGTGGTAGTCGCTGCACTGGAATAATCTTGTAATTTGTTACAGACTTCACTAATTAATAAAGCTATTCTATATTTTCCAAAGAATTACGTGGAACTATTGCATGGGATAAGTCAAGTACTAGACTTTCAATGTGATATTTGTAAATTCACCTATATTTATTAATGTTATACTTCCCTCAAGCATTAGCTTCTCACTAGAGATGCACAATCAGCTACTCCGGCATGAATCTGGCACAAATCCGGTCTGGTTAAAGTCGGCGCGGCAATGGCCTGACTCGCCAAAAAATGTCCAAATTAAAATATAATTGACAGGTCGGAAGTTGATCAGTACAAGAATGGATTAACAAAACCACACCTTCTTCCACAGCTGGAACTCTCTCTAAGTAGTGGTGTTTTCCTTTCTTCTAAATCCTAATCACCCTCAATGATCTTACTTCTGCTTTGAACTACTTTTCCCAACTGATCAGGAATTTCATCACTCAAAAACAGAAAATCTAATCCCTAAATCGTTCAAGTCCCCTTCACCTCCATTGTTGATCTAATTCTTGCTTTTTGGTATCTAATTACGGATTTTAAGGAGAAACTCACATTTTTACAATTCCATGTGTTAGTAAACACAAAGAATGCTAAAAATTGAAATGATTCTCATATCCATATTTTCAGGCGTTGCATAGAATTTGGTCATGGAGGCCTCTGTTTTCCTATAATGAACGTATTTTAATGAAGATTGGACAATGCAATATTTAAAATCCAAAAATATATATCTTGTTTGAGTGAATATTACTGAAATTTTTAATAGATTAAATTTGAGTTGACTGTTATTGTATGCTATCGGTCCTGAAATTAGTATTTTTCATGCGAGATCATATGACACTGGCCTCACTTCAAGTTCTGCAACGAGTTAAGGTACAAAATTAACAAAAATTATGCATGATGTGGAAATATCCCATTGCAAATCACTTATTTCTATTTGTAGTTATTTGCAATATTAGTTGAAGGGATGACGATTACCCTTTCTCTTCAATATACCTAATTAAGTGTACGTTCTCTCTTTGCCGACTCAAACTCACGAGTCCGAAGACTTGGTAATTCGTATAGTGGTCCAATTCTTTTGATAAAATAAGCACAAGTTTCATGTTGTTTGAACTCGATTAGTCGGCCCCTATAATATACTTGTATACTTGAAACAAACAAGATATCATCATATATGAAATGTTCAATGAAGATGTGTCTGCATGCCTTTGGTGCCAAGGCTTAGTTGTGGAGTTTTAGTTCCGTACGCACTGATTGTAGAACTGTAAATGTGGTTTTTAGGTGGACTCCACTTTAAAAAGTGGCCATGCATTTGCACATTGGATAATGTCAAACAACACCTTTAAGGAAAAAGACAAAATTAGAGTATTGATCAATACATAAGAGCATCTCTAACAGAAGTTCTAAAATTTTGTTATACTAGCTAGTAAACAGTTTAATTTTTCATTCCTAAAAACACTTTATATTTTCACAAATTTTAAATATTTTATTATTAACAATTCAAACCCACAACTCAATTTCTAAAGCACCCTTCTAAAATTATGTGGTTATTTAATCTTTAAATTGTAATAATATCAAGCAATGATTTTTTTGGGTAATTCCATCAAAATTTATTGTTTCTTACTTGGCCATTTAAACGCTTATTTTGGATGAAAGTTCTATCAATGCTAATAAAAAAGATCATGGCTTCACATTGAGACAAATTCAGAGGATCAGTAGTCAAAGATTTTTAGTTTATAGATAAAAACTTCAATAAAGCCAAAGTCAAAGGTCATTGCTCCAATTTTCTCCTGACAAATTTGCAATGAGTCTGTAAATACTCTAATATCGAGTGAACATATAATAATGGTAGGATGAAGAATCGAAATAGGACTTAAGGAAATTTAAATAAAGATAAGATCAAAATTAGTGTGATTGTAAATGAAGTGTAAAGTACAAACATTAACAAGACAATTCTCAAAGAAGGCTGAAAGTAAGAGAGAAAATGAAGTGTAAGCAAGCACAAAAGCGTTGACAAGACAATGCTCAAGGAAATCCAAACGTAAGAGAGAGTGCAACTGTTTCATGCACGTTTATTTTATGTTAAATTGTGAAGTTTGATTTTTACAAAAGGGGTTTTGACTCGCTCACTAAATATCCCACTTTCAAAGGCACCATCATTGACCATTCACTCATCGATCATTACAGGCATGCAGGTGTTGGCCAACAAAGTTATACACGATGGGAAACGCACTCGTTCCCATTAAGGATCATGCATTGTATATTTAGAAGTAGGAAAGATGATGTTCAAGTTTACTACTTACTAATAATGTATAGATATTTCCTCTATACGTTTATATATTGACCAGTCGACACACTCTTTGCATTATGATTATATTCATTTCTTCCTTTTTGAATGGAGTCCACCATGAATGCATTAACAAGATAGGGCTATCCTAATGACATCTCTACATGAATATGAGGAGGTCTGAAATTAGGAAGAGAAATATTGAGTATGAAATAAATTAGGGATCGGTAACAAATTGAAAAACCAACCAAATCAAATTGTTTGGGTTGATTTGATTTTTTTTATTTCTTATTTTTTTGGTCGATTCGGTTTATAAACTCGATTAAACAGGAAGAATCAATTTAGTATGTGATTTTGATTTTGACAAACTGTGAGTTAACTGAACCAAACCGTTGATAGTAAAAGATATAAAATAATACACACACATATAGGGTTAAGACTTAAGACTAAGAGTTGAGGCTGGTGTGTTACGATCTAGGGATTGGTCATTGCAATTTCTTTTTTAGCAGAATTTTCAGCAATTATTATTGGTATACAGTTTGCATATTAGAAGGTTGGCATTGTCTTTAGTAAAAAAATGACTCTTCCTGTGTTATTTTTGCTCTCCAATCGATTGTTTTTTAATCCTCTTTAGACTCTTTGTGCGCAATGGTCTATTTGTTTGGACCACAATTGGAAGATGACTTTCTACGTCTCTCACATATATCGCAAAGGAAACCTTGTTGCAAACAATTTTACTGACATGGAATTGTCTTCTCCAACATTGGTATGGTATGATTCCCTTCATTTGGCGGTTCATGCTACTTTGCTTTTCGAACTATATTGGCTTTCCTGACTTCTGCTTCTTCAATTAATGTGCATCTTAGCATATAGTTTTGTCTCACTTTCTTGTTTTCTTTTTATCCTTGTGATGTTGCTCGATCTGTTATGCAGGTTTAGACCTTTAGGTTCAACTTTAGAGGGGTTAGGATTTCATGTCCCCCCTCCCCCCTTTCTCTTCTTTCTATCTTTGTTGTTTTCGTTTCTAGAGAGGTAAGTAGGGCTAGGCACGGGCCGAGCCCAAATTTGGAGGGACCGAACTAGACCTGTATGAAAATGCAACGAGGCGGGTCAGGGCAAGTAATGGGATTTCAAATTTTGGAACCAAACCTAACCCAGCCCGTTTGAAAGGGGCCGATTCGGGCCGGGTCCACAGGTCCAATTACAATTTTTTTTAGGTCGGCACAGAAGGGACAAACTGAAGGTCATGTTTCCTAGGCACAAAAAGGAAAATACCAAAGTCATCTTCCCCAATGACAAGACCGTCACTGCAACCAAACAACCAGATTCAAAGATCGATGAATATTCTTCAAAAATTAGAAATTGCATACAAAATTTCAAAACATGGCCTGTTGTATAAGAACTCGTCCTCAAGCCGTAATATGGCAGGCTGAATAACCTTAGGATTCGCAACGTCGATGGACTTATTGTCGGCCATGGCTGTCCAGTCTTCAATCGTGGCGATAAGGCCGTCGATCGAGTTAAGAGCGATCAGATTGGGTGGTCAGCAGCCGAGTTGAGCCTATTGTTTTCTCCGATCTGGAGCTTTGCAATCTTCGTGTTCTTTGATGGTGAGGTGATTTCGTGAGTCATGACTCTAGTGGTTGCTGTGATGTCGATGCAATTGAGGGGTGGGAGGGAGAAGAGAACAAGAATGGAGAAAGAACATGGGGTAATCTGGGAGTGGGGGAAGGGGACTGAACGAGTAAAGCAATTGTTATGGTAGAAAGGGTTGGTTCGAAGCCCCAGGATTCTAAAATTGTGGAACTACCCCACCTAGCTTTGTCACTACCAAATTTGGCCCCGTCCTGACCCGCGGGTCCTGTACCCGTTTGTCCAGCCCAAGAGGTAAGGTTTATGTCCCCCTTTTTTTCATGTATTTTTTTTATTATTAATTTTCTTGTATTATGATGGATTAAGTTTATGTCCTTCTAGTTAAGTGTAATTTTTTTTTTTTTTTGTTATCAACAAAATTCCTCTTGTGCTTTCGAGGTTTTCTATATAAAAAAATAATAATAATAATTCGTCATCAAACTGTTAATTTATTATATAAAGGAGCAATTGTTTTGTGAAGACCAATTTTACAAAAAGGCCCAACTTGACCCAGAATTCCTCTCTCTTCTTTTTTGTACACGGGAGGGGAGCATCTACATTGATTAGGTTTTGTGCGGCCCAACTCGTTAGGTACTACTTTTTCGAGTTTTCAATCTTCATTTTTTAACAAACAATATTATCTACGCTAAGAATGAAAGAGTGGACTAATTATTTGTAGCCTTCACTTTCCTAAAGCTCCTCTACATTAGCAGCTTCTCCATGGACTCTCCAGGAGAAGTTTCCAGTGTCAAGCCTCAAAGCACGCCACTTGACATAATGCAGCTTCTCCATGGACTCTCCAGGAGAAGTTTCCAGTGTCAAGCCTCTATGCTTTTAGGAACCTCATCTTGTGCCACCAATGTTAATAATATATTTTGAAACATAAATTTTTAATTCACCCATATTATAACAAGTGAATTAGTTAATTGTAAGTGTTTATTTACTTTTTTTCGGCCCAAAAAGTTAGACCCAGAAAACCAAAACCTGATTAGAAATTGTTATTTGCCTCACAAGACTTGGAAATATCTGGGCTAATTGAAGCCTGTTTCAATGCCTTCGTCCTGAACATTAGAGATCAAATCCAAGTAATTAGGAACATCATTACCATGAGTGTGGACCATAGAGATAAGAGCGGTTGTAAACTCGTTCGTTTTATAAACAGGTACTTTACGTGTTATAAAATAAGTGGAGGGACACAGAATAATATATCATTTTCTTCACTTATATTATAACATGTAATGTACCGTTTAAATACTCGGTATTTAAAATCTCTCCTCACCACATACAAAAGAAGAATAATTCCTCTTGTATGGTCAATCCAAACAAAAGAATACAATACCATTGTAGTATAGTGTGAGTTTATTTCAGAAACAAAACCAGCCTAAATCCCATATCGAATATTTATATTTATACATGTAGTCATCCATTTGGCAATAGAGAAAGTGGTGCCAAGATCATGCTGATGATCTTATTAGGAAACATCTTCAACTACAAAACTATACTATGATGGATATTTTGATTGCTTCCACAAACTTCCAAGCAAAGCAAAATGGAAGCAACAAAATCAAAATATCACCTTTATCGTAGCAAACTGTATATATATTAACACATGGCACTCATCAAAATTTATTTATAGAAAGCAGCTGGGCACTGCTAAAGGAGATGAGCAGGCTGCAAAGTTCCAAGGAAAGCTGATGTGGTCCTCCTCATGAGGTAGAAGCAAGCTGTGGCTTTGAGCAGTATACAACTCTGAGTTAAGTGCAAACTGGACATTAGGGTCATTTTGATGATGGTGCAGCCTGAGCTTCTTCAGAGTTTGGAATTGTTCTGCAGATGACTGTGTTTCGCTTCTGTCAGGCTCCGATTCGGATGCAAAGTCCTTTGCATTTGATTCTGAGTCGTCACAGAGAGAAGGGAGCGATGTCCGCGACAAGGGTGCTTTTCTAGGTTTTGTGATCACGATAGGACGGTTCTTGTTTGTGTTATGGCGTTCTGCTGAATATCTTTCAAGAAACCTTCCTTGGGATTCAAGTTTATGTTTCAGGTTCTTTTGCACCTTCAAAATAAACCCACAACAAAAGAACCATTATTAGTTTATTTTGGTATTCATGTGACAGAAATTCTAGGCTCTATTTCCCACAAATATATCGACACAATAGATGACGTAACAGTATGAATTTAATGAAGAACGAACATTTGTTCCATAGCAAACAATTTATACGGAGGTAAAGATTTTTACATAATTATAATTGGATATTATCTATGTACCTCATGTTGATCACTGAGTCTCCTGTGTAACTGTATCTGCATAATTTTGAAGGCTTCATTGAGCTGAGCTGCACTAGAAGTTGTTTAGAAAAACACAGCAGTTACAAAGTAAGTTAGTACTAAGCCAGTAATTAATTGATACAAACAGCATAATAACTATCATTTTAATTCAAAACCTAGGGAGAGTGGACATGATTACTCACGATGTTGTACCAAAATTAGGCAGCATTTCCGTAATGTTTTTTCTCTGAAGCTTGCCTTCTGTGCAAATTAAACAATGGTACCACAAGATAAGTAAGCATTAAGGTTTAGATATCATCATATGTACCAAAATTTATAAGGGAAATTAAAATTCAACTCACTGCTCGTCGACTCTGGAATGAACTTTGAGATTCTGTACTTCTGAAAATCATCACATGAAAAGAAAAATAAAACAATCAGATACTTTATCCTAGAAAAATTATTGAAAATTAAACACAGTATGTCAAGATCGGACGTGACAAAGGGAAAGAGAGAGAACCTGCAAATGGCTTTTGATGTGGTAGATGGTCAGTCCGGAAACACTCATAGCTTTCAAGATACCCTTTGGTGTTGCCCCTATAAAACCAAACAGATTATAAACCTAAATAATACGCACCAGCTACAGGCTATAGCAACAGCACAAGCCAGGCACATCGCATCAAATAACCGGGGAACTCTTGTAACCTCGTATGTATACGCATTTCGTTCTCTCTCACATCACGTCACCTCTCGTATCATGTGACATAAAGAGAGGGGCTAAAACATAGGTTACACTCAACGTGTTTCTCGAGTAACTGGGACAATATTCACGTCACGTTAAACTAATAAACTTCATGAACCAAGATTAATTAGACTTACGATCAGGGCCACCAAGCTTAGTAACTGCCTCCACAAACCTATCATGCAGCTCTTGCGTCCACCGCAGGCGATCCTTGTTTGCCGCAGAGCTCTCTGATCGTCTCGAACCCATCTCAAAATCCGATGAAGATCAGCAGCTGCTCCCGAGCTCTGCGGAGAGGAGGAACACGATTATAATAGAAGGATCAACATGTACGAGAAGCAGCAGTTGGAGACAAAACAAATGACGATGTGAACTAAGTGGGGAGTGCTGGATTTGGATATATGCCTTACGCTGTCTCCAACTGTCGGATTAAACGAAGAAAACGCAGCAGAGTCCACAACATTTCATGCTTCAATGTCTTGCGTCTTAAAACTTTGTAAGTCAAATTTTTCGACTTGGTTTCATTGGTTGCAATGTTCTGTCCGAAGTTAAACGTACCTTGGTCAAATCCCAAACCTTAATCACTAGGAAAATAATAGAGCAGCTTGATAGAAATTGTATACGCCCTGCTGTCATATTATATTTTTTTTAAATAAAATTAACATTGCACATATTGGTTTTGTACGCGTAATAGAGTTGTGTAATGATTGATAAAGGTAAAATTGCGAATAAACATGTCGACATTCCCAAGCAAGTCAACCCCAACCGATTAGAAATACTATGTTGCAACTTTTGAACAGGTCGTGCACTTTACATGTAATAAGTATTTATTGGACAAATAATGGTATTGGGAGAGAAATTTTTCCAGGTTCCGGACACATATGACACCTGGTGTTCCAACAAATGAAAACTACACACGTGGCTCTTCATTTGTTCAATTAAATTGCATTCTTGAAAAACCAAAGAGACAAGGAAGTCTGTCAAACTTCCATTGCCGTTAATAACATTTAAACGAACCCCGATGGCCTTTCCTGCCCTCATACGGATAAATCAATCTGCTGCAGTTTATCAACAATTGCTTCAGATTTAGTTTCGGACGGTTTCTTTGAGTTGTACTGTCATTTTCCTTGGTTGGGTTATTTTGGCCCTTTTATGAAATTACATAAAAAAAAATAAAAAAAAAAACCTCGTTTTACAGACAGATCAGTGCAAATAGGCCGCCATGCATGCCTTGTCAAGCCAAATCATTCAATACTCCTTGTTTGAGTTCATGAAAATCAGATTTTGAAAACCAGAAGAAGAAAAATAAAAACCCATAAATACCCATAAAAGAATAAGAAATTACTCAATGAAGCTTCGGAGAACTGAGAAATTAACGATGGAGGAGGAGGAGGCCATCGCACGTTGCAGCAATCTGGATGATGGAGGAGGCCATCGCACATCGCAGCAATTTGGATGATTTGACAAGTGTTTATTAGACAGATGGCCAAATATATCCAAAAATAGATCGAAACTCATAGGGTGTGTATGGTCTAGTTCGGCCGGTTTCACCCTCAAATTAGAACCTGAACCGGAAATATCAATAGTTCAGTTGGGTCAAGTTTTCTTAAATTTATCACTAAAACTGTATGGCTCAGTTCACACCTATTCCGGTTCAATTCATGCAGATTTATGGTTCTAACCAATATATATATATATATATATATATATTGAATCTTCTATTTCCAATACCAAATACATATTTTAACCACGAATTCAAGCAAATTTGAGTTCACACAACTAGATCTACAAGATTTGTGACCGGAAGATAAAAAGTGTACATCTAAATATAAATCAAAAGATAGGAAGCCTCTTATCAAACCAAAGTGTACATAATGCATAATATACTAGAAAAGAATGAAGGGAAATAAAAGAGGGGGAGAGAAGTGAAGAAAAGCGGTTCGATCCGGTTCCATCGATTCTTGGTATTTTCAAACTGAAACAAGTACCGGTTTGAGACAGTCCGGTTCGGTTTTTGTCACAGTTTTGACTTTTTTGATTAACACAGTTTTTAATCTTTTTTTGTCACGGTTTGATTTGATTTTCCGGTTCGACGGTTTTTATGCCCACCCCTCAAAACTCAATAAAACAGTACATATGACATCAAAGATCTAGGAACTAGATTGATTAGGAGACAGGTAGTCGATCCCTTCCTCATCTCGAACTCCCGACTTTCTCCATTCATGACTTTCTCTTATTTCAACTAACAATAAAAACTTGTACCCTGCACCAAGAATACCACATGTACATGCGTATCTGAAGAGTAAATTTCAGATTTGCCAAACCTGGTATCACCTAAGGTTGAAAGATTGGAACAATAACACTAACAAGAAGCAAATATAATTCATAAAATTTGTCATAATTAATAACTGGAAGGTGATATAAAAGCCGAAGCAACGTTTGATAGGGAAGAAGAAAAAAAAAGCATCTATTATGAACAAACATCACAACAACAAATGCAGTACATTAAACAGTGACATTTCCTATACTACTTTGTCAGCCACGGAGACGACGCTATCTGCCCTTTTCTCGTCCGACGGTTTGGGTTGACGGTTGAGTGTCCACTACTGCCTGCCCCTTTTCAAGCTGCAAGACGGGCATTTGTATTGCTTGATGTTCTCGGCCTTAGCAGGTGTTATCTTAACACATTTTCCATGGAACCATTTCTCGCAGATGTCACAGCCGATCCAAAATTCATCTGCATTGTAATTTCCGCCACAGCTACCGCAGAGAGTTTCGCTATGTTCATCCTCCTCCTCCTCGAAGCTCTCGTCAGGTAGCTTAGGAGTGCTTTTCACTAGTCCATCACCAGATCTCTATAGAGAAGACGAACAAGTTAATGGCCACTACGTAACAAACAAATATTCCAAATTCCTATATCAGCAGTACTGAAAAGCAAGCAAATTATAAGACATGACATCTTTTAAGTACACCAACATCAGCGATTTTCTGTAATAAAAAGATTTTTTTTTTTTCCTTTTCTTTTTTCTTGAAATAACAAAAGAATCTTACTGTACATCGTAGCAAAAAGCTTCTGAACTAGGTAAGAACCTTACACAAGAACGGGTATTCTAAGATTCTAAGAGGGAAAACAAAAGAACAAGAAATGATTCATCTAACCTTTGTGCTGCCTCGAGATTTGCTTCCACTATCCACGCTGGGCTTTTCTTTGACGGGTTTCCGTTCCGTAACAACTTCAAAGACAGTAGGCAGATCATTGATCAAGCTAAATAGGCGTTTCCTGTCATACAGAACCAACTCATGATGGATAAAGCCATAGAGAACTCAACCAAAGGGGCATGGTGCATAAAAACTTGCTACAATGGAATTCCTCTATACCAAACAATGGAAGATATTAAAAAATGAGCCATATAATAAATTTATCGTTGGTGCTTTGGTGCAAATTGCAGAAAAGGGGATCAAGTGCTAAAACTTCTTCAATGACCATAAGGGACCTTTTTAGGTTCATTTCACGTTGATATTATAGTCAAGCGGGACATTGGAGAATTCACTGTTAAACTAAAGGATTTCTATCAATCAACATATGATTTCAGTTTATCACTACTATCATCAATGGAGACAACTAACACTAAACCAATTGATCCACTCATGTTGCTATTTTGCATCTGCTAAAAAACTAATTTCAACTCGGCATCTAGAGTTCAGACATCCTACACACATGCATCAACAACACAGAACAAGGAACACCACCAAGTATCTATACCCCATATATGGAGCAACAACAAAAAAATCTCAGGTACCTCTCATTGCGGTTCAGACGTGCTCCAAAATAAAAGGCCACAGAGAGCAGCCAAGAATCACTGTGAACAGCAACCAGAGAAAGCCAGTCCCTGCGGTTCATGCCATCTCTTGCAAAATTGATCCCAAGTGCTGGCTCAGGAAGCTCCGGTGGGACTTCTTCTGCTGGAAGCGTCACCTCCCAGGTTTCATTCGGGTGCCCATACAGACACAAGTTCTCCTTTTCTAAACCAACCAGAGTTATTAGAACCAAGGAAAACCATGAATTGGGTCAACAAAGAATCTGTGAATTGGTTTCAGCTAACTAAAGTGAATTTAAATACAGGTAAGGTCAAAAGGAGTTGCAGTTTTAACAATCAATCCAATTAATTACCACACAATTACAGTAAATTAAGATTTAGCAGAATCGAAATAACAGGCAAAGTAAACAAATTACTTTCCCTAGATTCTTCCATATTCTTAGTCTCTAGGAAACATATACAAATCCTTTTTACAAAATACATTAAGCATTTAATTAACTTAAAAAACATTCACAAATTCATACAAAATTACAAAAGCTAGAGCCCTAAAATACAATTAAAATTTCACAAAGCAAGCAAATTGTAATTAGAAGTCTGATCTACAATTAGGCATTTACCTGGATCACAGAGTCCGTAAAATTCATCGACACCTGCGAGAAAACAAAACCACCGCAAAGGTCAGAGATATCCAAAACCGAAAGAAAATTAAGAGAGAGAAAGAGAGGGGCGAGGGAGAGAAAGAAAGATTGGAGTACCGGAAGTTAAAGCACGGACGACGGCCTTTCTCCGAGCACTGTAATCCTTGAAGATCTCCTCCACCGTACGGGGACTCGAGGCCATCTCCATGGGATCTAAAAACGCAGTGTTTTGGGGAAGAAATTGGGAATTTAGTATTAGGGTTTGAGTGCAGGGGAAGAGTTCGAATTAGAGAGAGGGAAGGAGGAGAGCATGAAGAGAGATCGGAGGAGGAGAGAGATGCATGTAAACGTGATGTGAGAGAGAGAGAGAGAGAGAGAGAGAGAGAGAGAGAGCGGGGGTGTATTTAGGTCGCGGATACTTGATAAATCCACTCCCCCCTTCGAGTTCTATAGAGAATCCAAACTACTGAGAAATTTTAATTCAGCAAGGACGTATATTGTATCAATTTCACATGGACGCCTCTATACTAGTTCTTATTTACAATTTAACCCCAAATTCTTTTGGTTTTTTTTGTATGGGTGATTTTTGGGGTATTTGTTAACCGGTTTGGTTCGGTTTAGACTTCAAAATTAGTAAAGCACAAACAAGCCAAGCCAATTTATTAGGGACTACTGATTTGGTTGGTTATGCTCCTTTGATAATTACATGGACCTTCATTAGGTAAAATGAACGATTTTTTAAAATGTGTTTTACCATTACAGACGAAGATAGTTTGGAGAAAGAGATGTCGAAATGTTTGAATTTAATTTGTTGTATTAAACTATTAATTGCTTGATATCAATGGGGGACCTAAAATATAAATGTAAATGGTAACTCTACCAAGGAAATTTCAAGTGTCAAAAATCAAAAAATTATTATTATTGATTTGGCTCAATTTAAGCAGTTTTTAAACAAGGCAAACCGAAATGGACCAAATTAATTGCGGTCTGATTCGATTTAGTCCAAGATTACACTTTCTTACTTTAAGATCAAACCAAAGTGATTGGACTGGTTTGATTTGGTTGGTTTGAATGATTTGGTCTTTTTTCCCCACCTCCAATGGGTAGCAACTGTGTTAAATCGGCTAATCTGGTGAATCAAGGTCATGTCGAAAATTGAAGAAGAATTTATATATAATGGCGACGTCAAGGTGATGAAGTCCCAAACCAATCATTGGACACAATGTAGTAAAGTTAAGAACAAGACAACACGTTAAGATGCACAGGGGGGAAATTCCTTTGCATTTCAATTCATCGACGTACTCCACCAGAAGAAACTCCCGATTCTTTTCGCAAGTCGTGCACGAAGATACGAGGAACCTTCGTATAGAATGGTTAGGACAATTTCATCTGCAAGAGATGGTAATGTCGAATGTGATGAGTGCAATGCTGGAAAACCAAGCTGAGCTGATGAAACTATTTAAGTCTAACCGGAAAGAAAACCGGCAGCTCCAGCAGTTGGCTTGAGCTCCGGTAAGGACCGTCATTGTTTTGATAGTTTTTCAGTGGCCGTTTGCTCTATAGGTGGATGAGGAAACTGCATCAACTGAATCTGCATCGCATTTCGGCGTTTCTTCAATTGCATCAATTTCTTGTTCATGCATCAAGTTTTCATCAGAATATATTTAGATTGACGAGGAAAGTAAACACACTGAAAATATACATAGAACGGATTTATTGTCGTTGCTGATAGAGCAGCAATCTACTTAGTACACAACAAACACAACAAACACCTTTGTAAACCTAGGAAAGCTAACACTAGCTCGGAAGATAATACGGACTTGTACGAGTCAATGACCTGCGTTCACGAAGATGGCAGCAACATTCTGATGCCGGATTTCTGCTCTGAGGTGAGCTTCGGGATCTTGACGCTAAACTTGACGATCAAGTTCCCCTTCTTGGATTGTTCCTTCTGGATAGGCATCCCTTCCCCTCTAACCACTTCTTCATGGGCCTGGCAGATAATGGAATCGATAGAGACTCTCAGATTTCGCCCGTCTAGGGCTGTCAGCTGCGCGGTGTGACCCGCCAGAGCCTCCGCGAGAGAGACCGTCTGAGTGACAATCAGATTGTCCCCGTCCCTCTTGAAAACACTGTGAGGCTTCTCATCGACGATGAAGACAATGTCTGCTGGTATCACACCTCGCTGTGTGTCGTGCCCTTTATCTTGGAAAGTGATCTTTGTGCCCTTTTTCCATCCCGGCTTGATCTCGATTGTCAGAACTTCTTCCACCGTGCTTTTTCTTCTGCACCGAATAAAAACGAGCATTTTAATTTACTTCAAATTTTCTTTGACTTGGAACCTTGCAACCAAGTTGATGGTGCTAATGTATCGATTTGTACTAATAATTGGTTTCAAAAATATTTTCAAAACATTTTCATCGAAGCGACAATCATTTTAAAAGCACTTTCGAACGAGCCTTAGGCTTCTAGCAAAAAATTAAACAAAACAAAATATTCATAAAAAAAGGGGGAACAAGCGCTTACCCGCTAGCACCAAGAACATCCCTGAAGATCTTCAGCTTCTTGGTGGCGCCATTGTACAGCTCCTCCAAAGTACAAGGCAACGTCCTTTCAATGGCCGCTGCTTTCCTCGGCCCATTTCCAGGTCCCAAGTCCGCGAATCCAAACGACTGGAATACATCTTCCCTCGTCGGTCTACCTTCGAAAAACGTCGAGAATATCTCTTCCGGTTGCCGGGTCTCCTTGACCCGAGACCCCCCGGTTCCTGCCCCGAAAAAGTCCGTGAAGTTCAAGCGGGTCGACCCGGGCGAATCAGGAGGCGTCGCTGCCTCTCTCTTCAGACCCTCCTCGCCGTGCTGATCGTACACCGCTCGCTTTATGGGATCACTCAGAACCTGCCCATTTACCCATCAAATTAACAACAAATTTCAGTTAGCAACTTCAGTTAAAATAAACTAAACGTAATATTGCAGCAGCTCCCGCCCATTCTGCATGCTAAAAACTAAAAGCGCTTTTTGATTCATGAAGAAACACCACTTCCAGGTGCTTGAAATTTTCTATGGGCTTTACTTAAAACACTACTAACAAAAAAGCGCTTATAAATAAAATTGTTTTCTACATAAATAGTCTCGGAAGTGACGATCTTTATATTTATAAGCGGTTACGAACAGAAGTGTTACTGTAAAAAATAGTCCCAACCGAGACCATCTACGCCGCCAACAAATTAGAGCAGTCTAAAATATCGCTTACGATAGAAAACAAAAATCGGAATGATCACATACCTCGTAGGCATCGTTGATTAGGTTGAGCTTGGCCTCGGCGGCTTTCCTCAAGTCGTCACCTCTGGCGTTTCGCTGAACTTGAAGAAGCTTATAGTAATCGACGGCCATTCCTCCCTCTCTTGTTTTATCTGCTCACTCAAAACCGTCGGATCTTCTGTTGATGTAAACTCTCTGCGTTGTTGTGCGTTAAACTACCGGTGCTACCATGTTTATATAGCGAGCTCAATTATTGATCGCACCAAGGAAACAAAGCAGAGTCACAATGATGGATGGAATCTGCAAAAGCAGAGGGGCAAAGGGTAATTTCGCGGGACTTCCGAGACAAGGTACTAGTACAGTGGCTTGACTTCTGTAGCAGAAGACTTGTTAACCGAAAAATATTTCAATGTGTCGGAAACACAATTCGTTACATTGTGTGGTTGAAAATTTTCTTTTCATGTATCCAACTATTTGTGTCCTCATGGTTGGTGTACACGGAACATGACTTGTTACACTGTGGTTGGAAATTTTCTTTTCACGTATCTAATTGTTTGTATCATTATACTTGATGTACAAAGCTGTGTTTCGATATATTGGAAAATCTCTCATTTAGTTGAGCAGCTGACACGTGGTGTAGCTTTCAGATAAGTTGGGACTGTTTGTTCTTGTTTATGAACTTCTTCCTCGATGGGTTTCGGAGCAGAGGAAAAACAACTTCGTCGAAGGTTCGCTTTTGCTTTGGATAAGAGAGGAAAAGTTAGTATATAATAAAACCTTTTGCCTTTGGTGATATTGGATCATGACAGAAAGTGTGATTAGCTTTTGTTTTACGAAGTATTTTCAATCACCACCATAAATTACGGTATATATTCATCATGCTCCTCGTCATCTAGTTAAATGAAAAAACACGTGAGACGTATAATACGCTGTATGATAAACATAGAATATAATTTATAGTAGTAAGCAAAAATGCTCTATTGTTTATGGTTATTTGGCGGGATTGAAGGATAATTGGAAATTTAGGCGAAAATTTTATTCTAGACTACTTCAAGTCTTCAACCATGCAACATGTCCGACCATTCAATATCTAACAAGTTTCTCAATATCTAACAAGTTTCTCTGCAAGCATAAGTAGAAGTCTAAATTGAGAGTAAATGGTGATAATAATATTAAAAAAAATAATAAATAAATAAATAAAAATAAAAAATATTCTTGGTTATAAACCTCCACACATGATCAAGCTGCCTGACCAAAACGAGACACAAACATTTGGTTTGACAAAGCGAGGTTTTGCAATATTCCACAAAGTGCACAACAAAGTTCCTGGAACACTTTAAAATCCACTGTGCTATTTATTCATGTTAAACAGAAGGGGGCAGATTCTATCCAGCATTTCTACATAACCAACAAAAAGATTGGACAACGAAAGAGGAATGTGGAAATCAACATAACCTCCTAGTCAAATGCTGTGATCAAACATCGAACCCTCATTCGACAAGGCATCAATTTCCAAACCCAAAAACAAAAAGCGCTAAGAAAGCAAACAAATGCAAAACTTTCACAAGTTCGGCGGGCTGGAAGGGAGAAGGGAGAGCTACCATTGGCCTTTACTAAGATGTTAATAACCGTTTCATGTTGGTTTTTTGGTCCGAGGTAAGCTTGGTCGGGAACTTGATGTTGAACTTGATTCTCAAGTTTCCCTTTTTGGAAGGCTCCTTGGGAATAGGCATCCCCTCCCCTTTAACCACTTCTTCATAGGTGGGACTGATGATATTGGTGATGGAGACTGTAAGATTTCTGCCGTCGAGTGTTGTCAGCTGTGCCATGTAACCTGTCAGAGCTTCCGCAAGAGAGATCTTCTGAGTGATTGTAAGATCATTCCCGTCCCTCTTGAAAAGGGTGTGAGGCTTCTCATCAATGATAAATACAAGGTCTGCTGGTATGATTCCTCTCTGTTCATTCCCTTTCTCCGGGAAAGTGATTTTCGTGCCCTTTTTCCACCCTGGCTTGATCTCAATTGTTAGAATTTCCTCCACTGTGGTAGTTCTCCTGTAAACAAAGAAAGGAAACAAGAATAAATAGCATATGGATCCAACACAGACTTGTTAATGTACATCATTTTTCAATACTTTTACCTCTAGTCAATTAAATTGATCCAAAAGGTGCCAATTTGACACCTGGATGATAAACAATAACATTACTAAGGACAAGAACAGCATGCTAAAGCCACAGTACCTCCCAAAGAGTCTTTCCGACGTCAACACGTATTAGATTAAGCAAATATTCATCCTTCCAATCAGCAAATTAATCTAACCACAACCATAATTCATGTATCAATCAGCAAAACTATGATTCCCACAAAACCAAAGAGATATTTCTGTCACCCCAATGCTAAAGTCTAAACATACTAGTACACCTAGCTAGTAGACACGGATAGAATACATAATCATAGTACACAATATAGGGAACAATGCAAAACTTGACCACATAAGCAGACACAAGAATCCATCATTAATAAAGCAGGAATAAGCATGCACAGTACATGAAAGCATTATGATAAACAATGTCTTATAGTTATTTGGACATCTTGGATTCCCTATCTGCTGCCAGATATCCAAATATAGAAAGTTTCTTGTCGTACTCTGCGTCATTTTGGATGACTGTCTTGACTGTGAGACAATAAAAGACACCAAATACATAAATATGAGGAAATATACATCCATAAGTGTTATGAGGTTTACTATTCCACGGTAAAAAATTCCCAAGATTATTCGATAGTGCTTTCCAACAGTTTTGTAATCTCAATTAACTGGAATTAAGTAACAACTAACAACTAAGAAATAATCATAAATTAATGTGATTTGGCATTAGGTCAAACTACTTCAAGCATATGAAAGGATCCAAAGAAGGAAGTAATATCTCGTCGTGGGTTTCAAAAATGAGTTATAAGTGACAGGTAAAGTTGTCTGAGATGATTATCAAGATATAGTGGAGATTAGATTATATAAACTTGAAACAGAAACAGTAAGGTTAAGGCTTAGTCCAGTCAGTTCATCTTTAGTTTATTTCTTCATCAGCACTGGCTATCAGGTAAACCATTACTCAACAAGAAACATCTACACAAAGCTCCTATATATAGCCAGATTCCTAAGTAGATGTATCCAAATTTTCTAGTTATCGTGTATTGGGAGACCAAGAATCACCTTGGAGGAAATTATAAGGTTAGTACTGGAAATAACCATAATCCAGATTTAGTACATTAGGTAGCACTATTAACTAAATTTTGTTAATGAGATCAATAAAAAAGATGCACATCCGGTGATATAACAAGCTCTTGCAACCACTAATACATACTGATGTTTTGTGCAATTTGTCGACAAGAACTTTCCTGCTCCATTAATGATACTTTAAATCAAATGAGAAGTGATCTCATGCGGGAAACAAGACAACAATATAAGTTAAAAACTTCAAACAACCCCAAGTTCGAGATAAGACCCTCAAGCAAACAAGTACCCAGATCAGTAGTCATATCATCATCCTTGTATACTTCAAAAATAAATGCTTTTATCCCCACCTTTCCTGCCTCTGGATAGTAAACAAAGTATGACACTGCAATACTTTTCACAAGCAGGGATCATATGTTCGCAAGCAAGGATCGTACTTTCGCAAGCAAGGATAGTAAACAAAGTACGATGCAATACTTACATTAAGAATAACACAAACTAACAGAGATCTGACCTAGAATTCTACATACCCAAACAAAAAAAAGCCACCTGAAAGATGTGAGAAGACATAGTAACAGGTACCAGTCACTTAACTATAAACAGTAGCAAAGGTAATATGAAGCATATTAACAACTAACAGACAATGGCATTGCTAAGACAGATATGTAGGGAGATGATTTGTACAATCAAACAATGCTCACAGAGAACGAAAAATCTTACCCACTAGCATCAGGAACATCCCTAGAAATCTTCATCTTTTTGGTGGTGCCCTTATACAAATCCTCCAAAGTACAAGGCAATGTCCTCTCTATTGGTGCAGCTTTCCGCGGGGCAGCTGCAGAAGGCTCTGCTCCGCCTCTAAACTGCGCAAATATGTCTTCCCCAAACATACTCCTCGGAAACGGGTTCCCGCCAGCCCTCGACCCGCCTGCCCTTGACCCACCCATGTCCGGCATCCCCCCAAAACTCGAAACCCCAAAAAACTCGGAGAAAATATCGTCAGGGCTCCGGGTGTTGAACCGGAACGTCGTCGGACCACCCTCATGCCCTTGTCCGCCGGACCAGGACGAATCGGGCGGCGGTACCCCTCCCTTCAACCCCTCCTCCCCGTACTGATCGTATACTGCTCGCTTTTGGGGATCACTCAAAACCTAACCAATCAATTCAAAAATTGGGAACAAATCTCAGCCTAAAATTTGGGGAATTTTGGGAAATATCGAAATCGAATTGAGAGAGATTAACATTAACGTACATCGTAGGCTTCGGAGATTTGCTTAAATTTGGCCTCGGCGGCTTTCTTGTTGTTAGGGTTTTTATCGGGGTGCCACTTCATGGCGAGCTTCCGATACGCTTTCTTCAAGTCATCGTCTTTGGCGCTTCGTTCTACCTGCAGAACCTTGTAGTAGTCGACCCCCATGCTTCTCTCTCCTCTGTTTCTCTCTCCTCCCTCTGTGCTCCTCTCTGGTACAAAAGCCTGGGAAGATTTCTTCTCGAAAACGCTGCGTTTTGGTGCTAAACCTGGCCTGTTCTGGCCGGAGTTCCGAAAAGGAACTGGGGTGTAACGTGAGTGACGAATCGTCTCGACAACCACCGTTTTATAAAATGGGCTGATGCGGGCCGTCAGATAGCAGATCTTATTATCTTGGACTTTTTTATTTCTTAAACTATAAGGCCCAACTACGTTTTTTTTTAACCTGAAGTAAAGTTGTATTTTAGTCGGGCGATAGAGTTAGTACGCTAAATAATTAGTTGGGAAGGAGAAGGAAAATTGGTAGGCATCGAATCCACAATAGAGAGCATAAGTATAATTGTATTCCGTCAATGTGATGAAATTAAGTTGTTTGATTGTATGAAAATATAACAACTAATTTATAAAAAAATTTTATAAAACCTATGATTTGTTGGTTATTTTCATGCAAAACATTTTACAAAGTAGAAGTTGTATTAAAACAAAACATTCAAAGTACCATGTTTAATGGATTTCAACATCTAATACTAAATTGTTTAGTGATTAGTTATGTGGCCATACTCCATCGAATTTTACTGATCTAAACTGTTTATTTTTCAAGTTACACCTCATATAGCATCTTTGCAAAATATTAACCAAATTAAATATATTTAATACATCTAATTGAGTTCAAAGAAATGGACGAACACTTTCTTCTGAGAAAACATTGAAATTTCTTCGTGGTAATTAAATAAGCAAATGACTTGGGATTAAATTGAATTTTTGCAAAAATAATCTTTGAATCGAGACTTACAAAATCGATTGAATTTGACGTGGAATGAATCCCACAATTAATCTCCATTTTTAAAATAAAATATGAATCTCTTCCTTTAAATAATAGAGTGACATATAACTCCCAAATATATTTTGTTTGCTTTGATGGTAGATTTTCTCATGAGTCATTGAGTCATGACCAAACTTCTTCACCAAACCCAAAACTCCTATAGGCTATAACCACGCCATTACCAGCTGCAAATTTACGCTACGTCCAACCACCCAATAACTAACCTTAACAGAATGGTTCAGGATTAGAGATGAATTACAGATTCGTATTTTATACTGCACGTTTTGGGTTCGATTTCTAACACTGGTGAACCGCGCGATAATAGTCAAAGAAAGACTGAAATGTCTATATAAGTCTTCTCAACCGCTAAAAAGATAAATGACGAAGTTATCAGGTGATTATCTTAAAAAAATAATAATAATAAATAAGTAAACCCACCCAATAACTCTGTCCCATAAAAGGGAAAAAATTATTAAAATTGGTCAAAATTTGGAAAAAATAAATATACCAAGCACAAGCAGACATAGTTTTTCGAGTTAAAAAGGAAAAGGTCCATCACCACCGTCCCATATTTTAATTTTTTCCAAAAAGTGACGAATCATATCACGTTACCATGATTGCCTCTCTGAGCTAGAATCGCGTTCAGTCACCGATCGGAGTTCGGCTGCTGCTATGGCGCCGATGGGACAGCCTGCCGCCGCCGCCGAAGTGTACGTGCCTATGACCCTTCAAGTATGGCGAGGTCTCGTGAACTGGGTGGGCTTCTTCTTCCAGATTATTCTTCAGATCCTCAGAGGCGCGCCTTGCCTTCCTCACCTGCTGTCCTGCATTTCTTCCTCTTCTCCGCCTACTTTCAGGCCTCTGCCCGTCGCCGAAGTCCCTCTCAACGACTTGTACGTCCTCCGCCCACGTCGAAAACGGCGTCGTTGATGGTCGCCCCGTCGAAAAGCTCACGGTGCGCTTCTTCTTTCTTCATCTCCTGGTTTTATTATCGCAGTTGTTAATTTTTACTGTTGGAAGTTAATTTCGTTGCATTATTATTTTCTGGGGTAATACAACTGAAATTTATGATCGGATGCAGTTATTTATGCGAAATAACAATCTGGGTTATTTGCTTAATCAATAAAACTATCTGGGTTAATTGCAAAAACTGGGATTTTTTGCTTCAAGTGAAATGAATCACCATGGTGTTCTTAATTTTTTTTCCTTTCAAAGTTTTACGGATAGAATTTAATTCGATTTAGTTAATTAAGCTTAAAAATGTTGGAACTTTTAGGCTTGTTTAGTAATTCTGTGAGTTGTTAAAGCTGAAGTTTATACGTCACGCAAAAATTTGATTACACTTTGTTCAGATGACATGAATATGCTAGCTTTTCTAGTGATGGGATTTAATTACTAATTGTATTTTGTAATGTAGGTAGTTCTTGATTTGGATGAGACTCTAGTATGTGCTTATGAAACATGTAGCGTGCCTGCGGTTGTTCGTGCTCAAGCAACGGAAGCTGGGCTGAAGTGGTTTGAAATAGAATGTCTATCTTCAGGGAAGGTATGTAGACCGCCCGTTCTCTGCAACTTTCATGCTGAAATTTGTTTGCCGTCTGATAGTGTGTTTAATATGATAATTCTTTGGGTTGAAGGAGTCTGATGGTAAACCAAAGGTCAATTATGTGACAGTGTTTGAACGTCCTGGTTTGCGAGAGTTCTTGAAGCGAGTTTGTGAGTTTGCTGATCTTGTGCTATTCACTGCTGGTCTTGAAGGTTTGTTGGTATCCCCGTCTTCACAATCTTTTTTTTATTCTATTTAGTTGTTTATTTATTTCGGATTTGTTATTTGATGACTCCATACAGATTATGCTAGACCACTTGTTGACAGAATTGATGTGGAGAATCTGTTTAAGCTTCGTCTTTATCGGCCTTCTACAGTTAGCACGTAAGTTTGTGATTTCCTTTATGTAACACCTCTTCATGTAAAGCATGCCCGGTGCAAATTCATAATAAGTGCTGACCCATTGTGCGATATATCAACATACACACGGACACGCACACATATGAAAACATAAATATAGCCGAATTTTGTACTCAAAGCTGTCACATGTGAACTAGTGCCAGTCTGCAAAGGAAAAGCCTTTGTGATTTATTTTTAAGGACTCTTTCCAATTTTAGTCATAAGTCTAAGCAATGGAATTTGTTATACTGTGTGCAAGGAATGATGTTTGAACTTGTGTAAACCATAGGGAATTTCGGGAGCATGTGAAAGATCTATCATGTTTGTCAAAAGATTTCTCTCGAATCGTCATTGTTGACAACAACCCATTCAGTTTTTTGCTGCAACCGTTGAATGGAATTCCATGCGTTCCATTTTCTGCTGGACAGCCATACGATGATCAGGTAATTCACTAATTCGCATTTTGTGTAAAGAGTTTATTAGTTATCTGAAGTATGCTCTGATTACAACCTTCTTTGCCTTTCATTCCGTCATGTCGATTGTATAGCTTTTGGAGGTCCTGCATCCTCTCCTCAAGCAGCTCTCCTTGCAAAAAGATGTGAGACCTATGCTTCATGAGAGATTCCACATGCCTGAATGGTTTCAAATGCATGGATTCCCTGTTTCTGGTTGAGAATATGGATGGTAATTAGGTTACCTAATGGATAGCTGCAATGTCTCGGGGCAGCCGACCAGATAGTTGTCCAGTGGAAGCATTTCTTGAGGGGTATTCTGCCCCCGTAAATTAGTATTCCGCAGGTGCCGGCAAAATCGAATTCGTTATATTGCTTCCAAGGCCAACAATTTTGACCTGGGAACATATTACGAAGGCTGTCTCATGGTAGGATTAACTCCAATTCTTTTGTAATTAGACGAGATTTCAAATAGGGTGTAATGCGTTCGGAAACTTCTGGGAAATTTTTTGGTTTATTCTTTCACAGTGTAATGTTATCATATCATCTCTGAATTTAATCGTTTTGTTTTCACGAGGCTTTAAGACATATGCTGGACCATAAACTGCGACTGAACGGAGTATATATGCTTCGATACAAACTTTTAGGGCCTGTTTTTGGACTGCTCTACTGCTCAGTGAAACTTGAAAAGTACTTCAAGGTCATGGAACCGCTTTCTGGAGAAGCACTTGTACTTCTAGGAAAAGCACTTCTTAGCAAAAGTACTCATTATATAGCTTGTTTGTACCGGAACTACAAGGTTCACCGAAGAGGAAAAAACAATCGCGAGAATGACGGAAGCAGCAAAGTTTTGATCATAATTGAATTGAATGTTGCCTACCATGCATCTCTCTTATTGTAACTTTTCTAAGAATGCGGTAAATCGGTTTTACATGGCTATGCGGTCCGTACTTATTACGGCATTCCCCATTTGATAATAACACGATGACACTCCACATGAATCTTCAACTAGCACTAGATGACTCCTTTGATTTCTCTGTGACTGCGTCCTTTTCCGAGTTGCTTGCATCGCCGGCCTGGGACTGACTTGTTTGTGCCTCGGCCTGGGACTGACTGGTTTGTATATCGGCCTGAGTCTGACTTGTCTGTGCCTCGGCCTGAGATTGACTTGTTTGTGCCGACGAATCTGAAACAATTCCCAAAACTACCAATATTGACCTGAAAAAAGAAAATCCAAATATCAGAGCTGATCTTCCCCGTTCTAGAGATCTTAATGTCAAATGAGACAAAAGCGACATTTCATTCACCTTGGAAGGGAAGATCGGATGTCCGGTTGACATGGCATGAGCAACCAACGGTGCTTTCAGAGCTGCAAGTTCTCTTCAGTGCGTTTTCTAGCTGTGCTGAAGGTAGCTGAGACAAAAATTATATACCATCAGCTCATACAGATGTGAAGAACGCTTGTTTCAAAGTCCAAAAATATATTTTAGACTAAGCAATTTCATCACATATTAACATAGATTTTCTTCCCTCGAGTGAACGAAATAGTCCAATGAGTATGCAGTTTATTATCCATTCAATCACAGAGTCGGGCTTCTAGTGCAAAAGGTAGTGATAAAAGATTGCAAGGATAAAGAAGCAACATGTTAGCAGCAAAGACACACCTGAAGCAGCACAGCAAATGACTGAGGTTTTGTCAAGGACGAACACTTCAAGAATCCCACCCACAACTTCGGGTATTTCCATATCTACAACATGTCATCAGTCACATAAACTACACTACACATTATAAATGAAAAGAAACAAGATTAAGAAACTGACTTACCTGCTTGCTCACAAGTCGAGAGAGGATCTCCATTATAAAATCTGCCTATGTTGTTTATTGACAAAAACTCGACAAGTCAGCAACACATCCAAAGTTTGAACGTGAAAAGTATAGTGAATTGTTCTTTTAATTTTAATGGTAAGCAATCACAGCCTTCACAGGTGGTAAACAATTAACCTAATAGGATATCTAGTAGATTTGCAAGTGGGCTTCCATAACTATCGAACATAAATGTAGGATGTGTACATAAATTTCGAAGATCTGATAAGCTACAATAATATTTACATTGAATGCTACACATACAAATATCTGCACATGGTCATAAAACTAAACTGAACCTGATAAGAACAAGTGGGGGCATACAAATGTAATTTCATAATGTTGACTAAGAAGAACTGTTGTTTGTTTAGATCTACTTCGGTTCATCGCTTTGACAGATTTGATTACAGTGTGACAGTAGTACAGAAGTTATAGTTTCTTATCCCCAAAAGCAAAATCAGCAGTACTACTCAAACTCGTAGTTTATTTATTAGTAAATAATTAATAGACAATTTTTTTTTTTCCAAAAAGTTCTGATGATGACATTTCAGTGTCAAACCAATTAGATTTTACGAGGGGCGAGATGAATAGGATTGAAAGAATTTCTCAGCAGCATATGCTTTCCCTAGAATTGTTGTGATTCAACTTGCCTAGACACTCCTTGTGTCAAGGAGTGATTCCTACCTAGCATCACACTAGCGTGATGCTGGTAATTTCTATTCATTTATTGTAATAATTCCAAGCTGTTCCTTGAATTTTCCTATTTTTCCTCAATTCTCAACAATTTACAGCATGCATCTCACATATTAAACAAACATCAGTAATCGTGGTCCAAAAAAGTACTAAATGCATGTATTTTCCTTCTTGTCCTACATCAGTTTAAAGATTTCTTCAGATCTTACCAGTGCAGGAAAGGCAACTATGGCTTGCAATACCGCAAGCATGAACAGTAAAGGAAGAGGAATCTGCTCAACCTGCAAATAAGAAGCTTGGTCATCTTTACGTTCCGCTTGAAAGCATTGTAAAAGAAAGATAAGGAAGTATCCAATTGTACAAACCAACTGATTCAAAACTTTGGCATAACTTGTTGGGTGAATATCTGCCTCTGCTCAAAGCAGGCATTGCATGCATCTGTGACCTGCTCATAAGAAAAAAAAACATTATCCAGCCATTCATTATTGCCACTCAAAGAGATTTTCAATCAAGAAAAAAAAAAAATGACATGCCTTCTTTAGTGGAATTCCATCTTTGTCGGGATCAATTCCGTGGATAGCAATCAAGATTTCAGCTGGAGCCAGAAGATGACCTGATTGGGATGATCCCTGTGCAAGGCGGATTAAAGGTCAAGCAACGAATAATAGTACTTCACAAGCATATTAATAGCAAAACTTACTTATGAAATCATGTAAAGGATTAAAAACTGTACGTAGAGAAACATGTGCGAAAAAATGAAAAGAAAGAAAGCATCATGAACACGGCAAAGAATGATGAATAAAAATTGTAACAAAGGAACCTTGAAATATCTGATAGCATGCAAAAATGACAAGGATCATTGAATGATTATGGCATTATCTTCAGATATTTTCATGACCCATACAAAACAAGCCAGAAGAGAAAAAATGCGAACAGTCTTACACTTAGAATGCGTATATTGCCAAGTTCTAACAAGGAAACATAGATACCTGTAGTGTGCAAGCTAGTGCTGCTTGGAACTTATCCAGTTGAAGATTCACAAGCGGAAATATAAGCATAACCTAACAAAAAGTAGCTACCTAAATCATTAACACCTAAATAAAAGAGCATCAACTGAATTAAAATCAATATGTAACTTTTATAGTCTAAAGAATCAACTGTAAGTAACTAAGAACTGGAAAGGATTCATCCATAATATACCAAGTACAAGATAACAAATTAAGTTCAAAGTACTAAGATCTGCTATTATAGCAGTTATTTGGATTGTGGATGGAGAGAAATAAGGTTCTGCGGTGATGAGTAAGTTAATTTCCTACGGGAGAGAAGCATGTTATTGGCATCTTTATGGGCATCAACGCCAAAGCATTTTATAGTATATTCCTTTAATTTAATGATCTTGATTGACAAGAGCTAAGATTTATGAATAAATTTGTAATCGCTTTCTTGTAGCTTCAGCATTATTTCTATCATAGACAGAAACCTTGTTCATCTTGTCCACTACATCATTTATCTTTTCCAATAAAATTAATTATATTTCTTATCAATATTAACCCAAGTAGAAAAAGCTACACCATTTCAAAATTGCACAAAATGTTGTTGATGGAATTGTGTAGCACTCCCAATTATAACAGAAAGGCATGTAACAAGTAACACAAACACACACATCACGTAGTAGTGCTATTATGAGAAGACATTGAAACGGATGGAACCTCATCTTTCAGCAGAAAGGGTAATATTGGAATAAGAATCTCTACATCCTGTAATCGTTCATACCCAACAATATATATATAAGCTAGATTTCCGAGGAAAAAAAACCATATATAAGCTAATAGTGTCATGTATTTTCAACTGTCATACAGAAATGATAAATGTACCTTCAGTTTTGAATCATATAGCTTTCTAACAGTAAAAATCAGTTCTTGAGAGGAAACTATTCCATCTGTCAGGGTATGTAAAACCTGATTCCATTAAACAGAAGAGAGGATTACAGATGTTATTTGTTAATCAATGGTACTGACAAAACTGTAATGTTGATAATTACAAACCTGGATCAGGAGGTTCTCGCTTCCAGTTGGAGGATCAGAAATAATTTCAAGAAGATTAGGTGACGATCCCACAGTACGTACAAGTATTGGAATTTGGCGATGTACCGCCTGCATTGCACCATACAACTGTTGAAAATTTTCCTCATGGGGATGGAATAGCAAGCCCTATGCTAATTTATACATCAATATACAATTAAAAATAACTAAACCTGCTTGACGGCCTTTGATGCGCTTCCATAAACAACAAATATTTGGCGAAAAAGGGAATGCTTCTGCCATGCGCTTCCATATTAACTAATAGACATTGAACAACTCAGCATTTGATAATAAGATAAAGTAACACCTTTGTACAAAGAGCAAAATACAATGATAAACACTGCTGGGCCTCGGCAATTGAAACGGATGACATGCTTTGAGAACTGCATGATTGATGATTATCAGAGGAGATATCTTTACTGTTACCACTCACCTGATGGAGGTTCATTGGAATGTTTTTCTGAATCAGAATCCTGAGGGAAAACCACTTAAATGTTAACTCTCTGATATATATCAATAATATAAAACATATTTGAGTTAAACCCCATATCGACAATGCAAAGATTAGAACCTTCTGTAATTTATTTTTCGATCCTTCAGCATCTATCTTTTCAGTTGCATCAACACTTTTCAGAGAAAGCAACATTTCAATAGCAAAATCTTCTATTCATTGGGCAATAGATGACAAAGGATAAAGCTTGTTTGCAACCCGTTAGACAAGGCAACCCATAATGGAAACAAATTTAGAACCACACACTTAACTCGTTGATCAAATAGCAAGTTGCGAGTAAGTACCAGACGTAAAGCCTTCATGCGCACTTCCTCCAGATTATGAACTGCACTCTTCCAGAGGAAAAAGAGAACAACAAAGTCAGACGAAATAAAGGAAAAAAGAAAATTTCTTCAACACATAAAGGTATAGAGGAATTTCAGAAACGGGAGTAACATAGAGATAAAAATACAAAAGAACCTGTAAAGCAATTTTTAAGCATAGATCTCGGAGATGAGGTCTTAGTAAAATCAGGCTCCAGGACAATGCTAAGACCTTGAGTCACTCGATCCCCACCTTGTGTTTCCTTCTCAGTTTTGCCGCAGTTTCCAGGTGAGCACATGCACTCCAATAATTTCAAAACTGAATCTGGTAAATAAGGAACCTCACCAAGCAATCTGCTTAGTGATTTTTCAGATGGTGGAAAAGAATCTGTAAGTGTTTCCACCTGCAAAGAAATGAAAGATATTATAAAAAGTTCTTCGACATTTGTAAAGCAAAAAGATGGTTAATATTGAGATAAAAGCACACCGCAGTTGAAAGGAACATTTCATATACAGAAGTAGCGGTTGTCGAAGAAAAGAAATCGCGTTCCTCTTCGGCCTCTCCAAATAACCTGTATAGGACACGTAATGTCAACTCGTGTCCCTGAAGAGATCCCAGTCACTTTCAGTTAGTACATAATATATATGCAAGAGAATCACAAGAACTCATAGTTAACAGCCATTATCCTTTTTTTTAACTACTAATATCTATTAAAAAATATCTGAATGAGTATTTGCAAAAGAATTGAATTTCAGCCCAGTATCTATAAAATACAGTAGTTTATTACAAATGGTACTATCTCCAAGAACATGAGATATTTGCAATCACATCTGGTAAGGTTAACAGGTATGTAGTTCTTAAAATTTCTACATCTAAACACATAACTGAAATGGCCGCGCTCCAAATTCCAATACATCTATTCAAAGGTTGGGTAAATTACATTTTACCACCTTGGGTTTGAGTGCAATTGCAACCTCATACAACATCTTTAAAACATTTCACTCCCGTACACAAACTTTTTTTTTGTTGCAATTTCATACATCCGTTAGTTTGACCGTTAAGTGATGACGTGGCAAATGCATGACCCACATATTTGATGACATAGCATATAAAAAATAATTGGTTATCAAAAAACAATTTAAACAAAAAATTAAATTAAAACAAAATAAAAAAGGGCCCACCCCTCTTCTCCCACCCGAGACCGTTAACTATTACCACTTATATGAAGATGACGGGGAAAAAGGAATAAGGGGAATTATTAACTCCACTCCTCAAACAATAAAAAAAAAACTTCAAACTTCCATTAAACAGATCATCCTTTTCTACGCAGCAACTGTATATGTGCTGCTCACATATAACCACCCATTGTGGTCCAAAAGACTCAAACAGAGTTTTCAATTCTAATAAACGAAAAGTGCATTCTTGTAAATATCAAATTAACATGATAGAGTGAAAAAATTACAAATATATCATACAATCATCAAATCCCGTTCACATACCTCATTATTCGTATAATCTGCCAAGATGTGCTTGTCCAGCAGTTTCCATGGGTCTAAATCCAAAGGGAACTACAAAGATAAATCAAATATTGATTCTGTAAAAAACCACAGCACTAAAAAGGTTTTCATCGAAATTAAGAAAATGACATCATCAAGTTAGCCTCCACTAAGAATGCCTAGTTTCAGCCCCTAACCCTAACACCAAAAAGAAATAAAGAAAAAAACTAAAAGGGGCTTAAGAATAAAATAAATAAATATCTGAACAACAATAACTAGAATTGAAACAAGGAACCACAATCACAGCCGGTGCAAATTACAGTTAGCCATTTAGAAGAAGCTTGAATTACTACCTCAACTCCTAAACTTATAAGGAGAGAACATTGTATTTGGGAACCTCCAGCAACGGCTATGTGCTTATGTGCCTCGATGATGCGAGTAAAAGCCAATTGCTGCAACCGATCCTTCTCTTCATCAGAAAGGATAACAACCGGCGCCGACATCTTGGGCACGACAAGATGATAGGACAATCCAACTGAAGTTGCTGTCGAAGAAAGCAGGCTGACATCTGCAACAGCTGAACGTGGACTGAGCTCCTCAGACTTATCCGTTGACAGTGATGGAGGTATATTAAGTGGAGTCTTTTGATCCATACTGGTAACTTGCTCTTGGCTTGCATTTTCTACCTTAAGACTGGTACATTGCTCTAGGCTTGCATCTTCTACATCCATTAAGGCTGATGAGGATGTAACGATAGGTTCTGATCCACTATTACAAGCAGAAGAATCCAGTCCAGGTATTTCACTCTCAAGATATTCCATATCATGATCAGATGGAATTGATGGGCAACTATGCTCCGTTTCAGATGAAGCTGGTAAACCCATAGGTAAGATAGCAGTATCATCTCCAACAACATAATCCATGCCGGTAGATGCAACACTGCTCTCAACTACAGGCTGCTACATGTTCTTTCTCCCTTTCAGATTTCTGCAATTACCATAAACATTTCAACTCTAGAAAAATAAAGGAAAAAAAAGGGGTGAAAACCAAAATGAGAGTAGAAAACTGTACCACTATATCATTGACACTGACTCACGAGCATCTAGGAGTGCAGCTATTGGAGGGAAAGTGCTTGTAAGTGAAAGAACATCAGCAATAAATGATGGTGGATATTTAACTTGAGAATCACTGCCGACTATACCCATGTTCATCAGAAATTGATCTCCTTCAGTTCCAATAAGATTGGGTGGAAGGTTGCACATATTAGCCATCACTACCTCTACTAACAAGTCAGCAGAGATACTTGACATAAGAATTTCTGAAGAACCAACAGCTTTTTCACCTTGAGCAACCAGCGCACCAAACATAGCAACAAGTTGCTGTACAGGTCCACTTTCACCATCTCCTCTAGAAGTGGTAGTTCCACTTGAAGAAACATCATCTTGAGACACAGAAACATTCCTATCTAACTCTTTAGCCGAATCCCCAAAGACACTAGATGTCGATTTGGCACGCTTTCCTGATACATTTTCATCCACTGCAAGATCACTACTATCAAGTGCTCCTAACCGTTTCTTCCCGAAACTACTTTGCACATCATTAGATATGTTAATAGTGCGCTTCTCTTCCTGCAAAACATAAAGCTCATGCTCAAGAAGCTTCAAGATACATGACGCCCATGGCCCAATGTGTACTTGTGCAAGAGCATCCATTTTTTTTTCACCTCTACATATCTAATATAATATGAAATAGGAAAAAAGGTGAAGGAATACCTTAGTAACTAGAGAATCATCTAGCCCGTCTTCCACACTTCGATTAATCTTGCATTCTTGCTGGGTGGCTAGCTCTACCAGCCCTCCAGCTTGCATCTTTCTCATCGCACCAACCAAACGATCCCGCCACTGCAGAATGCAAACTCCATTATTCAGATTCTTTATACTAAAGTAAATCACACAAAGTAGAAACAAGGTTACAGCAATTGAAGAAAAAAAACTGTATTGTATTGCAACAGATAATGAGAATAATGAAACTATTCCTTTTACAAGAAATCAATGTTTCAAAGCTATTAATGTTTTCAAAGCTATCAGTATTTCCAAAGGTATCAATGTTTTCAAAGCTGAAGACAGGCAACGAAATTCGTGGAATTATTCAAGCATGAAAAAAATCCTCCAAGTGGGTTTCTAATTATATTCTTTCAACCTTTACTGAAAGAGTTTGTCTGACAATTCTTTTGGGTTGGAAATCTTTTGGGTAATCACTAATCGACATACACTGTCATTGATCAATTGCTAGACTAAATAAGATGGTGATAGAAGTTTTCCCCACTTTCGTTATAAAATGTTGAACATACACGTGCAAACTGTTCATATAAATCTTTTGAGTAAGGCCCCGTTTGTTACACATCCTTAAGACGGGCTGGCTTAACTAGGATTACAGTCCTATGTTTGGTATGGTCAAGGACTACAATAATGAGACTAACATGGATTAAGAGAGGCTTTGCGCCTCACTAAACCCAATAATCTAATCATGAGCAAAGCTCGGTATTATAAAGTACTAGCTAGAAAGGAGGCCAATGACCTCACCCCTTCCCTTTCCCCGCGGGCATCTTCCTCCTCTTCTCTCTCTTTTCTCCCTTCATCCCTCTCTCTCTCTCTCTCTCTCCCCGCGTTTCTCTCCATTCTCTCCCTTTGAACCGACAACAAACGTCTTGGCTCCTAACCTGAATCAACCTTGCGCAGGCCTCCAGCTGTAGACAGGTTGGACTGATCGGAGAAAGAAATTTTGGAGAGGTAGAGATCTGGGTGGACAATTTTGGAGAAGATGATTTTAGTTGGGTGTTACCGTGTTACAATAGACTTTGGTTATGGTTGATTGAACAAAGGAAACAAATTAAACAGAAATTGTCGCAGATTGAGACGCTGCAGCGTGCCACAGTAGTTGTTCTGGTATAGTTCTTATCTTTGGAAGCTCTGCACTTCCACCCAAATACCATCAAGAATTTCAACTTAGATGAACCTCAAGAGCATCCAGATCGTCTCTCTATATCTCTCGCGGATACGGAATCTCCCAACCCAAATCAACCGCCACCAACCCACCACCGCAAATACCTACAGAGGGTGATGGAGAAGACAAATGTCAAACCAAATCTACCAGATAGGTTTCCAAACTAGAAGCCGAACGAATATCTAGTACTAACACAGTCTCTGAAATGGCATAGGACAATTGGTTTCCAAAGATCGAGCTGCTACTCCACCGGAACGGATCATACAAAGGGAAAATTCTATGGGGTCTTTCTAGAATCAATTGTTGGACAGCGTCCACTCAATAACAATACCATGACAGACACATTTCACGTTTTGTAGAAAGTTCTTCAATTGTAACAACATCCTTACTGAAAGAGAGAGCACCTATCATTTGTCAAAACAATTACTCCTTTGCACACCGGAGACCAATGCTCTTCAGAGCCACATGTTATCAACCATTTTTGAGCAATTATTCATTAACTTTCACTGCCTTACTCATAATTAACTGGCACCACAGGTATATCAAGGACAATTTATATAATAAAAGCCTTACGGTTTTTAGTATAGAATCATATAAAACAACAAACCAGTGCAGCACCCTGGTGCATACACTTTAAGCAGGTGAGAAAGGCATTTTTTAAGGCATGACGTGGCCCAGAAACATGTACCCCGTTAATGAGAGTGCTTGAGGGATCAAATCCAAGTAATACAGGCAAAACACGACCAAAGAATGCAGGCCTCTTCTTTGCAATTGCTGAAAGACTGGCAAGACCCGTCAAATAAAATAAAGAATAGAAAAACTTGCAGTAAATGTAAACAAGCAGACACAAATGGTTACAATTGTACCCAAAAAAAATATAAGGAAGCTCCTACCCTGGAGGACTCAGAATAAATACTATATTTATGATTTAATATTTTTACAAAAGAATATATCGGTCATCACAATCTACTCTCGTTCCAAGATATTTTGTCCTCAATAACCCTACTAGTGCCACTATTATCTTCACCCTATATATGATCCTAAAACAGTCCTCTAGTACATAACAATCAACCACTTAAACAGTCCTCTAGTACATAACAATCAACCACCTAACTCCTTAATAATTTGACATTTACCCAAAACGTAGCTCATCACGCCACTCAAAGAACAATTGTTTATAAATTTAAACATCATCATTTGGGGTAACTGTTTGATATCAGGAGACATAGTTATCACTTATCAACACCCATAACCTAGGTTCATACATATGCTTACGTTTAAACTTTTTTCTTACCAAACCCAGTGACAAAAGAGAGGAAACAAAAAGAAAATTCCCTTATAACATGCACTTGCTCCTTTTATTTAGATGCAGTGTTTGTAAAGTGAGAACATTTTTTACACCTTTTACTTTTCAGGTGATGTTAGAGAGAATCTTTTTAGACCATGTTTTGTAGATTACATGGTGTAGCAGTTGATGGTTGGTCTAAATCATTAAAAAAGAAATCCAATCATCAACCACCACATCATGTGGCTTACAAAATAATGGTCTAAAACGATGGTCTCCCTAGCATTTCCCTTACTTTTCTCATGGAGAACAGCTCCTCTGGAGCTCCAGATATGGTTTACAAATTTTTAATCTTCAAAACTAATTTTAAATTACAGAGGGTCGTCTACACCTTATCAGCATTAAAATTTAGGATACAAGGTCTGTATGGAGTAATGCATAACAGTGGTAGAAAATTGAATATGGCCCAAGAAAATCAAGATACCTGTTAATAAGCACAACGATCACTAAGCTACCAAGAGATTTCACAGTTGGGAACCTGAGTTGATCAAGCAATAGACCCAAACTTTTACTAGCCTCAATTGACAAATCTCCAACATTGAGTAGGGAATGACCACCACGAAGCCAGGATACATTAAAATCCACCAAGTCCCCTACAAAGCGGACAAGCATCCTTCATAAGCAAAAACAAGCCAGTTCAGTTATGAGCATAAATAACAGAGTCAAATTTAATTACCTTCATGATCAGGGGGCGCCGGGGAGCCATTAGGGTCAGGAGTATAAAGAAGAATGACTGACTCAACAAATTTCAGTGCTCGCATTACTCCGCCGCTTCCCGGCTGTTAAGCATGATACAGTGAATTAGATATCAATGAAAATCCGATCATCTTATCATCAAAAGAATGCTTCCATACCCGAAAAGCTATAGAGTATATTTCATCCTTCAACTTTAACACCCATGCCCAAGCCAACTCAAGCAAACTGTCCAATTCACTAGTATGTAGACCCTGAAAGGTCAACCGGGAATCAGAATGTCGATTTTTACAAACTCAACTTGGATTTACATAGTCAATACTTAACCATAAAAAGTAACCCGAATTCCGAATAGTAGCACCAAAACCTCCATTAGTAAGGCATTACACAACGTTTCAAGTTCAACCAAAAGAATTACCTGAATCGAAACCTTTTCGAGAACGCAATGAAATAAATGAATCCCGGTAGTGATCGCCTGTCGAGCAACTGCCAGTGTTCCATCACTCAAAACATTAATTAAAGAGCGTACAATTTCTGGCAACAATTCAACATGCATCAATCCAATTTCGCCAAGCATTCTACATTCCAAAAACAAAAGCGAAATTTCTCAATTAATTACGATACGGTTAATTTAAAGAGAAGAATAATTAAACTAGTACAAACTAGGGTTTTACAAAACAGCACTCGGTGGCGAATTTGCGAACCGGTCGGACTGAAGCTCGAAGAAGCGAGGGAGGAGTTCGGAAAGCAAATCAGGGTCCTGTTACCAAATCGTGCTTCGATTGGCGCAACCGGTCGAGCTTCGACGGAATGTCGGAGGCGAATATGGCGGAGTCCATGAGACAAGCCAGCCTTTCGTGGGAATTGGCGGTCATCGTCATGCCCACCATTGCAGAAACGAAACCCTAATTTGTTTTGCTCTCACAGTCGATACAGTGAGATGGTTCGGACATAGGGTTGAAGGGGGCGAAGAGAGATTTGAAACTTCGGGGAGAGAGGGTGGTGGGGGAGGGAAAAGGGTGGGAAGTTTGAAAGTGGAGAATCCAAATTCGCGGTTCCTGACCACGGACGGGGAAAATTTTTGAATTTCATAATTCAGTGAAACTCGAGTTGCAAACGTGGATTATGTTGGTTGGTTAGGTCAATATGCCACATTTTGTATTTAAGTTTGAATTCTTATTCTTGCAACTTATAACTCGTTTGGATGTAATTTTAAAATAGCTAAAAGTATTTTTGATGAAAATGTTTTTAAAACTTTTTTTTTAGTAAAGACGTAAATCCTGAAAAAACACTTAAAAGTGTTTTCTAAAAGAAGCACTAGTTACATTTTCTCTAAAAACAATTTTAGTAATTTTAAAAGCACTTCCAAATGAACCCTTAATAAAGTTACATAGACCATGTATGTATGGATTTTTCTAGAACCATTCACTTACTTGCCTATTAAAACAGTAGTTCACGATATTTCATCCATATTTCCTTTTATGAGAGGAAAATTATTGTTTCTTTTATCTTCTAGTTCATATTCTACACATCAAAATTATATTACGCTTGTGAAAAACATTTCAAACGCAATATTCTATAAAATCCTTCTTACTTTGCCATGGTTGAAGGGTTTTTTCCCCTTCTTCAATTGACTTCGTGAAGTGTCTATTTATAAATATCAATGATCTACAATTGCTAATGCTATTGATGTTGGGGCATAAGTGTTTTACCATGGTAACTAAACAACTCCTGACCTGATAATATGGTAATGAAGAATTAGATGGGATAATGTCTAATAACTAATATTTTGATTTTCAATACTGTAATTTTTGATAAACCTGTAATTTCTGATAAACCTGTCAATGTGACAATCAAACCGACACATAACATTATCCAACTAATTAGTAACACCATTTTTGATAAACCTGTCAATATGACAATCAAACCGACACATAACATTATCCAACTAATTAGTAACACCACAACGGTTGAAAATTGCCCATAACTCAAACTTGGGCCATTGACCCAAACTCAAACTTGGGCCGATGACCCAAACTCAAACCCGAATCTTTCTGGAACTTTCTTGGGTACTTTAGATTACTGATACTCCAAATGTTAAATCTTTATTGAAATGAATTGTTATTGATATTCCAAAATTCTCATTCTACGTTCCAAATTTTCTATATTTAAAAAGAAAAATATTATTGTGAAGGATGTAAAATAAGATTTTTGAAGTTACTATAGCACTTTCCCTGGTTGTAAATGTAAACACATCAGCATCTAACAGTTAAAACACCGGAGTACCGTTAGTCTCGAGCACCCAAGCGGTTTCGGCCGAAAACTTGGAGCCCAATTAACCTGTTGGGGAAGATCACACCCAGCAAAAATTGCATGCTGTGTCGCAAATTACGCTTAATTAATAAGCCAAAAGCAGAAAACATAACTTAATCCATTATTACGCAAACAAAATCAATACAACATCCAAGTTTCCAACAACAAAGAAACCCAAAACCCCGGTGACCCACGACATTATCTTAATTTTTTACATGTGAAAAACCCACTAAACCCATCCAAACAGTCCCTTAAACCCACCAATCCACCCAAACAGTCCATTAACTCCATCACTCAGACCGATTCGCAAACCTCTCCACCTTCTCATCCTTCAAATTCAACCCCACCATCGCCTCCCCCAACCCGCAGCTAACCTCCGCCAGCACATCCGGGTCCTGATAGTGCGTCACCGCTTGCACAATCGCCCTCGCCCGCTTCGCCGGGTCACCGCTCTTGAACACGCCCGACCCGACAAACACCCCGTCGCACCCCAGCTGCATCATCAGCGCCGCGTCCGCCGGCGTCGCCACTCCTCCCGCCGCAAAGTGCACCACCGGAAGCCTCCCCAGCTGCTTCGTCTGCATCACCAGATCGTACGGCGCCGCGATCTTCTTCGCGAAGGTGAACACCTCGTCGTCGTCCATGTTCCGCAAAACCCTAATGTCCCCATCACGGACCGCACGTGCCGTACCGCCTCGATGATGTTTCCAGTTCCGGCCTCGCCCTTTGTCCGGATCATCGCCGCGCCCTCCCGGACACGGCGGAGGGCCTCGCCGAGGTTCCGGCACCCGCAGACGAACGGCACCCGGAAATTGTGCTTGTTGATGTGGTGTTCCTCGTCGGCGAGGGTCAAAACCTCGCTCTCGTCGACGTAATCGACGCCGATAGCTTCGAGGATTTGGGCCTCGACGAAGTGCCCGATTCTGGCCTTTGCCATGACGGGGATAGTCACAGCCTGCTTGATTTCTTTGATGAGTTGGGGGTCGGACATCCGGGCGACGCCGCCTTGGGCGCGGATGTCGGCGGGGACGCGCTCCAGGGCCATGACGGCGCACGCACCTGCCTCCTCAGCGACCCGAGCCTGCTCGGCGTTCACGACGTCCATAATCACGCCGCCGCGGAGCATTTGGGCGAGGCCGACTTTGACGGAAAAAGGCGACTGCTTGCTCTCGGAAATTGCACCGTTTCCGTACACCGCGACCACCCCTGAACCTGCCATTTCTAGAGAGAAAGAGTGAAGGTTATAGAGAGAGAGAAAGAGTGAAGGATCTAGAGAGAGAAAGGGGGGTGAGGAAAGAGGGTGGCGACTGGCGAGGGTTTTGGGAGGGGAAAGGATTTGGGGGTGGGGTTATATAGGGTGGCGTGGAGTCGCGTGGGGTTACTCGGTGGGGTTAGGTCGTGTGATTAATATTGAGCGTTGGATTTGTTTTTGTTTCGGAGTCATCGGTTGAATGATGGGAAGTATGTTGATCGGACGGTTGGAAGGGTGGGAGCTGCCACTGGTTGTTGTGGAGAGGCCCGCTTGGTAGTTTGTTTGAGTAGAGGCCACGCAATTTAATGAGCTGAATCGGTTAGCTACGTGGGAAGTGGGGGTTCCAATCGTTGGTGATAAAAATGTAGAGACTGTGACTGTGCTGCCTCGAATCTTGAATATGTTTATTTTTCGAATTATTAATTCTCTTTATCAATTCATAAATAAATATGCAATTAACATTTTTAATCTCAACCGTTCAAGTTCCAAAGATTTCCTTACAATCGTATACTCTAAGGATCTGTAGTTCAAATAGTTACAAGTGTTTATTTTATGAACTCAGAGTCAAGCACTCTTTATCTTTTGTATTTCTCGTTCATTTGGTATGTAACTCATGTATAAGAGGATTGAATGTATAAGATTCGTTTCATATGATGAGTAAATGCAAGATATTGGATTAGTATGTGACAATAATGGCAAGTTTACTTGTTTGAAATGAGTTTGGATGATTTTCTCTGTGTTTACCAACCTATAGATTTTTTTGTGTTACAAAAAGTTTAGGGAGAGATGAGGCTACCTCATCCCATAGCCATGACATATCACAGCCCTTTTTAAAGACTTATAGAAGAGGTCTTAGCCCCTTTTAGATTTTATAGAACGTCCACCAAAAAGGATTGCTGGCAGTGGAACTCGAATATTAGGCTTATTGCTACCTGAATTCAAATGCATAACTTAACACATCCATAATAAATAAACAAAAAATATATAACTGTCACATTATAATTCATGATTCAAACCTAAAGAATAATATGTTTCATGATTTTGGTTGCTTTGGTTCCAAGTAAGTAGATAAATATAAGACTAGTGAAAGAGCAAAAATTGCAATTTTCTTTCTCAACCTCACTCTTAAACATACACCCCATTTCTCTTAAACAAGTCGAAAAAAGTGATGAAAATGGAACTAGACAATGGGTTTATTAAAGAAATGGAACTAGACAATGGGTTTATTAAAGAAATTAGCCATCAGTTTAAAGGCACCTTTTGACCAGCACATGCTTTCACCATATTTTATGCCGTCGTCGCAGACTCACAGACTTGCACTAGTAAGAGGAGAAAGGCGTCTTCAACTTGGCCTCTTTTCTTTATTTAATGTTATCTTTCAGTTGACAATTTATTTTATTTTATTTATAACGAAACTATCTTTCATTACATTAAAAACTAGTAAAAGATCTAAAAAGAACCAGTTAAACAACTACACATAAAGTACAAATCCAAGCAAAATGAAAGCGGCAACCCATAATACAATGGAGGTGCACACAAGCTTAGGCCCGAAGGCTGCAAAAAATAAACAATAGACCCTAATCTCCAGCAAAGACCACATCATCATTGACGTCACATCCTCAGAGGAGCCAAGCCAAACCAAGAAAGTAAACACCATATCCAAGTCCCTTCACGAACCCCTACAAATCTATACAAACAAAGTAACATATGGGCAGAGAGTGAGACTAAGGGGTATGTAAAATACCCAACACTTGGCCTCGATGGGGATCCCGCATGCTGGTTAGGGGAGGGAAAGCAAGGGAGGGAAGTGGATTTGATATCCAATTTCTAATCGAAGCTCACCAATTCGAGCACATGGTGGGATGGGATGGTATCACAGCTAGGGAGGGGGGAGGAAGGAAAATTTAAAGACAAAAAGTAGTAAAAGCAGGCGAAAAACACTAGGCATGAAGTCCGGGATAGTTGAGATTTGGCTTAAGGAAAACTAAGATTCAACTCAGGGGAGAACCAAGAATTAAAAAGGAAGGGAGAAAACTGGTAAAGGTGAAGGAAGAGGAGGATGGAAGCTGGGAGGGGAAGGAAGATGAGAGGGGGAGGAAAAGAGGGGGAGGGCAAAGAAGAAAGAAATTGAGAAAAACTCAAGAGGAAATAGAGAAGAGAAAGGAAAAGAAGAAAGGAAGGAAGGAGGGGTGGATGCCTCCGGCACCCAGGCCAAAGGCTAGGGCCGGCGGCAAAAGTTTCTAGAATTGTGTTTCACATAGAGCGTTTTAGAGAGAGAAAAGAGGAGATTTTTAGAGAGGGAGCCGAAACTACTTCAGTTTGGATTTTTGGGAGGGGTAGTTTTGGAGGACTACATTATTGGACAGTCTGTTTCGCAACACACAGACAAAGGACAAAACCAAATCTTTGTTCCACTTTTATGCCTTTTAGGTCATCTCCAACCGAAATGGCTAAACATAACCCTGTATAGAATTATAGCCTTGCAAAAATTATTTTTAATTTAACAATGTCATGCCCATATTCATATACCATCTCCAACCGAATGGGCTCTACATAGCTGCCTCAATATTTTATTAGTTTTAAGTTTATACTTATTGGTTAATTTAGTTAAACTACTGTTGAATGTTTTTAAATCTAGTCGGTCAATTTGAATTAATTATTGCAACTGAAGAGTTGAACCCCAAAAAAAGGCTAAGAGAAAGGCTATATTTGGCCAACCTAATGCCCCTTTGGCCAAATAATAGTCTGGTGAGCTCTATAAAACTATAGCATAGTCATCGGTTGAAAATAAATTTTTGGGCAAATCATGTCATTTTTTGACTTTTAGACCTTTAACCCTCTCCATTAGAGATGACCTGACTTTCATCAATGCAATTCATCTTAGATATTTCTAACTGTTTACCAATTAGCAATGAATATATTCCGTTGCTATGGGCCATTGTGCGTACGGTTTGCGGATGTATCCGTCCAGTATAATGACGACACACTATAGTGGAGATACGCAGTCAATACACCGTGCACACAATCCAGGTGCATGGGTGAGCAAACCTCGAAAAGTAAGATGCCCGTGTTGCTAGTGATTTTGTTTGACAAGGCTGCTCTAGTTCTAATTTATGAGAGAGGGTCTCACCAGAAACAAACCACAAACACATTATTCTAACCAACTGCCCAAACCCTACATATACACGTAGACAAGAAACGATCGAACTTGGGTACAAACAGACGAGCAAAACTGTCCTGGCCAACACATCAGCCTTCTCAAACACTTAAACAGGAGGAGATTAAACTTGGGAACAAACATTCATGAACCCGGTTTTACAACCAGTTCTTTTTCCCTACATTAACAAGGTCTAGTGACAAATTGAGTTCAATCACACAAAATAAGATGCATAAATTTGTAGAGCAGTCTGAAAAGGGGTTGAACAAACAATATACATCAACAACATTATTATCGTTGAAGATTACAGCTTAAAATCAAATAACTTAACCCAACCTACAACGTGGGAAAGAAAAGAATCGAGAATTTTGAATTCTTTATCCTATTTAGGTGTATCGAGGCTCTCTATACCCGGAAATAATAATACATATGGGTAAGCTGTTGTAAAACGACAGGGCATGGCCTTTTTTAATCCACACTCAGAAACTACCCAGGTAAGTAGGTAACCATCTAAATTTAGCTCTGATCAGTTATATTGGCAGGTAGTAAAGAATGGCGCACACCAGCACTACAAGGAGGTTGAATTACTTAAACTGTAAAGATCTTTCTCACCTTCTTTATGTTCCTCCGACAAACTGGACAAGTAGCAGCTGCCTCCGCAATCCTGTGAAAATTTGAAAAACGTAATCAATCACTAAATTGGATCTGAAACAGATAAACAGGACAAATATGACGTGTGGAACACAGTTCACTAGTATTCTAGAAGCTTATTGGATGAACCTTGTATGAAATCAGAACTTTTGATAGCCTAATGGGCATTGGCCTCGCCAACTGACATAACTAGTTTGTGAAATTGTTGCAGGGTACAGCGCAGAGCAACTTCTCAGTTAGATATGACTATAGAAAGTTATAAACGATTGAGAAAAATACCTTGTTGCACACTCAGAACAAGCCACACAATGCCCGCAGGGAAGGAAAAAGCAGTCCCTGGGAGCATCAAAGCAGATTGCGCAAAGACGACGAGTGTTATTACTTTCACCATCTCTTGACGACTTCCCTTCTCCAGCCAGAAAGTCTTCAAGATCCCCCTCATCGTTTGAGGCAGAATCATAAGATGAGCCCCAACTTGATTGATCATCATCTTTGTAGGCAAGCAATGGGGCTCTCTCAGATCTGAACTCATCATGTTGTACTCTTATTCCATCTTCATTGGTACATCGGTACTTGTTTAAGAAGTTGAAGGCCAACAACATGAGCACAGTCATCCCACCTACACAGGCTGAAATAATTAAATATGATACAGATTAACAGACAAAGGTTACACTATGAAAAGAAATAAGAAAACGAGCCTACCTATACCAACGATATATGTGGTCCATCTTGGGCCATATGATAATTTGACATACTGGTTTGCCATAGGAGTATCCTGAGGAAACCAAAAAACGTAAGAAGAAAGAGTACCAACTTCCAGCGTAGCCTATTTATTTGATAATCCACTAGATTAGTTTTACCTGCTCTGTACCAGGAGTGGTCAACACAGCCACATTTCCCTCCGGAAACAAAATTTTCAAAGTACAGGATTCATCCACGAAAGTACATTTGGAATAAGCCGTATTTGTATTATACACTAAAGCATTCATTGTGAAGTTTAATTGCACCTGTTCAACGTCAAGAGGAACACAAGTGAATACCGTGAATGGGTAACAAATCAACATCAGACCAGCAACAAAATTCTTTAATGTGAGCTATAATAGCATTCGGAAAAGGGGAAAATAGAGGCCCTTGCAAGAGATACTCCCAAGACCAACAAATCAGGATCTATGCCTAGCGCAAAATTAGGTTTTGCATTCTTACTCTCACTCAACCTGTTACTCACTGTAGCAGTATGCTGCGGGCAACAAGGATTGTATTAATCTCATAAGTACCA